ACACTTGTCCCAGAGCCTGACCCCTGGATCTTTGGACAGGCAACCTCCAGGCCTTCTTCCTTGGGATATAGAACTACCTGGTCCCTGGTAGGGACTGGCCCTAGAGCCTATGGAGGCATCAAAGACACATTTGATGGCCCCAAAAGAGGTATCGAGGAGGAAATAACAGTCATTCTTAGCCAGCTCTGGGGGGCTGCCGGAAGGGCTAGGGCTGGCAGAGGAGGAGCCGACACTTCCTTCTGCATTTCCTGCTATTGTTCCCCAGCCCACTTCCGGGAATTCTCCCTGCTGTCTGGGAGGGCTTTGCCAGCAAGCCAGGCTCAGGTGGTCCACCTTTACTCTGGGCCTCTAGCCAGGGCTCCTAAGAACCACACTGAACTGTCTGGTTCACTAGACTGCTTTCTGCTCTGCTGTTGGGCCTAGCCTTCCTGTCGCCAAGGCCAGACGTCTCAACTGTAGACACTGCATATGTGGAGGGTCCCTGGGCTGTTTGCTTGTCCACCTGCTTGATCAAGTCACCCCGGTCTGCTGCCCAGGATTTTTAAGGGACATAGTGACTCTGGTTTCTTATGTCTCAGGGACTTCTGGATTCTGAGGACACTTCAGTCACCACACTGGGGACAAGTGCTACTCCCATGATTGTCCTTAGAATACACCTTCCAGGAGCCCTGCTTACAGTACAGAACTTCCTGCAGGCACCAGGGAACAGAGAAGCCCACATTCTAGAAAGTCTGACCTTCACGGGGCTTTAGAACCCTGGATACCTCTCTCTCACTCTTTCTTTAAAGAAATAAATGTCAAGTCAGGTGTGGCAACACACATCTTTAATCATGGAACTTGGTAGGGAGGGGCAGGCGGATCTCTGTAAGTTTGAGGCCAGCCTGGTCTACAGAGTAAATTCTTTGACAACCAGTGCTACATAGCGAGACTATGTTTCAAAACAGTGAGACTATTTCAAAAAACCAAAATAAATGAAGAAATGTAAGAGAAGGGCTGGGGGGGATGGCTCAGTGGTAAAAGCACTTGCTGTTTAAGTGTGAGGACCTGAGTTCAAATCCTCAGAAGGTGTGTAAAAGCTGGATGCTTATTTTGAACATCTGTGATCCCAACACTCCTACAGGGAGATGGGAGGGAGAGGCAGGCAGGAGAATTCCCAGGAGCTTGAAGGGTACTTGGTCTGGAGAATGGAATGGAAAAACAGTGGAAAGAGATCTGTCTCAAATGAGGTGGGAGTGAGGACCAACAATACAGCTGTCTTCTGAATGCAACACACATGCACACGTACACACACGTGCATATACTCACAAACAGGCACACACCAACACACACACACACACACACACATATATGCAAACACATCCAATAAAGACCCACATACATACACTTGTGCACACACACACCCCTTGTTTATTGTCTTTCTAGCAAGGGTAACTAAGGTGGCTGAGAGCGTGTCTGCCCTATGAGGGTGCAAATGCATGCATTTTATTGACAGGGAGTTTAAAAATTATTTATTTATGTAAGTTTATAAGTTACTTATTTATAATTAATTGATTAATTTCAGTGTATATGTGGGGAGGATGCGCGTGCCCATGTGTAATCTATATGTGGAGCCTGGAAGGCAATCGTGACTGTCATTCTCAGGGGAACACTGACCACCTCCTGTGAGACGGGACCTCTCACTGGCTGGCAGCTGGCCTGTGAGCCCTGGGGTCTTTCTGGTCCCCACTTCCCAACCCTGAGATCAAAGCCTGTGCTGCCACACTTGGCATTTTTACATGGTTCTGGAGACCAGACATGGTCCTTATACTTGCAAGGCACTCTGATGATTGAGCTACCCATTGCTCATCCCTGATTTATTTCTGTGTATGTTAAGATACGTGTGCACCCTCATAGGGCAGGCACGCTCCCAGTCACTGCACAGTTTCCTTTGCTAGAAAGACAATAAACAAGGTGTGTGAGTGCGTGTGCGTTTGTGTGCGGGTCTTTAAATCTATCATTTAAAATAATTTTATCTATCTATCTATCTATCTATCTATCTATCTATCTATCTATCTAATTCATTTTGAGACAAGTTCTCATTGTGTAGCCCTGACTTGGAATTCCCTATGTAGACCAGCCTGGCTTCAAACTCATAGAGACTCATTTGCCTCTGCTTTCCCAGTACTGGGTCCAAAAGCATGCATCATGATGCCACTGTATTTTAACAAACCTCAGATGCACAGTCTAGTGTGACTCTCACACCCATCCATCTTTGGGTCCTTTCCCTCTGCCAAACAGAAAGCCAGAACCCCTTCCTTTCCTTCCTCCCAGCTCCTGGCAACCATAACTCTGTTTTGTGTGTGTGTGTGTGTGTGTGTGTGTGTGTGCGCGTGCCCACGCGCTCGTGCGCGCTTGCACTCCTGAATTGGCTGGGATACTGGGATCAAATGGCATCTGTCCTTCTGTGTCTTCAACACTATTCTTTTTATTATTACTTTTGGACAGTACTGGGCACTAAGCCTAGTAGCCTCATGCATGTAAGGCAAATACTCAACTACGGAGCTACAGCTACAGCTCTTCCAAGACTAGTCCCAAGAGAAGGGCCAGAAATTCTTTCATACTGAATAATATGCCACCTACCTGCCTTGGTTGCTCCTATCTCTTATTTTTGTTTATTTATTTAAGACTTAGTTTTATTTTATGTGTATATACATTTTGCTTGCATGAATGTTTGTGTACCACTTGCATGTGTGGACCCTTGAGGCCAGAAGAGGGCATTGTGTCACCTGGAGCTGCAGTAACAGATAGCTGTAAACCTCCAAATGGGTTCTTGGGATCAAACTCAGGTCCTCTGGAAGAGTAACCAGAGCTCTTAACCACTGAGCCATCTCTCCAGCTCCCTCCCCCTTTAAAGACAATGTCCTGCATGTCCTAGGCAGGTCTCAAAATCATTATGTAATGGAGGGTAACCGTAAACTCCTGGCCCTCCTGTCTCCACACCCTGTTGCTGGGATTATAGACACAAACAACCATGCCTGGTTTATGAGGTCCTGGGGACGGAACCCAGGGCTTCAGGCATGCTAGGCAAGCACTCTCCCAGCTGACTTACCTCTGGGCCCCTCTCATCTTCTAATGCTTGAGGATTTGCTGCTTGAACATGCCGTGCAGATCTCTGGAGTCAGAAGCAGGGTTGGAGATGGGATTTATGTCTATGCTTAATGTTCCCATAGCACCCCCCGATTCTGACCAGCAGCATTCTCAGCAGGGTTCCTATTTCTCCACATCCCCCTCCTTCCCTCTCTCCCTCCTTCTTTATAATAGCCGTTTGCATTCATTAATTTTATTGTTGCTATGACAAAATGCCTGAAAAAATAACTTACTGATGGAAGGGTTTGTTTTGGGTCGTGGCTTGAAGGTGCAGTCCACCATGGCAAGAGGTCATGTACAGGAGCTTGAGATGGCGGGGGTCACATGACACCCACAGTTAGGGAGCAGGGAGAGATGCATGCTGGTGCTCAGCTCACCTTTTCCTTATGCAGCAGGACTCCAACCCATGGCATGGAACCACCCACATGTCAAGTGGGTCCTCCCATCCCAATTAACCCAGGCTAGAAACTCCCTCACAGATGTGCACAGAGGTTTGTCTCCTGAGCGATTCTAGATGCTGTCAAGTTGGCAATCAACATTAACCACTGCACGTCCATGCCTGTCAACCCGGCACCTACACATATCTCTTTTAATCCAGAACCTTCTAACTCTTTTTCCCTATAGGCTCTTGGACTTTTCATAATGCAAACGCACTCAGCCCAACTTCAGAAGTCCCCATACTTTTTAATACCATCCTTGTGGAGACGAGGTGGTGCCTTACGAGCATAGAGTTTCAAAGCTCAGCTCATTAGGTCAAGATTACAAGTTTCATTCCATGGGTCCATGTAAATCCATATGCAGACACCATTGTTACAGAGACCAGGCAAAGGATGGTCTCAGATACTGGGCTAGCTTTCTTCATTAGGGGAAATAGCTAAAAAAGAAAAAGTGATGATGAACGTGTCCCCGTAGCTGTCCCCTAGGACTGATGAGGGTTTGTACCCACAGCCTGGTTCCCAGGGAGCAAGCAGAAGCTGCAGCAGACTCCAGTGACAGATTTTAGGTGACACAAGCCACTTGCTGCCACTTCAGAGGCATAGAATGAATGGTGTGGGACTTACCCCTCTGCACTCCTTGAAGCCTTCCTTGCCCATCCTGCCAGTGGCCCACTCTTTCCCAAGAGCCCATCCCTTAGTCTCTTCCCTCAGTGAGAAGTGTGTGTGCTGTATAACTGGTGAAGGGGTCTGTCTCCGAGATCCAGAGTTGTTCTTCTCCCTGCGTCAGAGACAGGGAATTTCCTTGCATCCAATTCGTAACTGATGTTGTGTTTCCTGGGAAACTCATGCAGACAACAGTCTGTGTGCTGTGGGAGCAGCAAAGGTGTGAAGATGGGGTAACTGCCCCTCTGTCTTCTAGTGATGCTGGCCTGGTTGAGGTCTGATGGTGGGACTGGGGGTGTGGCTGAGTTGAGAGAGTGCACACAGGAAGCCATGAGCTTGATCTCCGGCACTGGATAAACACGATGTGGTGGGGGCATCTGTAATCCTAGCACTTGGGGGATAAAAAGGGAAGGAAAGGCAGTAAAGAACATTCTCAGCTACATAGTGAACTTGAGGTCTGCCTGGGCTACATGAGACCCTGTCTTTAAGTACGTAAACAAATGGTCTGTCTGATGGGAAGATGCCCCTACAGGTGCCAGCAGCGTGGCTAGGCTGAGGCTGGACACAAGGAGGTCAGAGTGAGCCTGGGGGAAGGCAAGTCTCTCTGATCTCTCTTTTTACCTAAGAGTTTTCTTCAAGAGTCTGGTCTCCCTAAGATGGTACCATAGGTGCAAGGGAAGCCCTAGGTAGATGGGCTATAACTGGGTTGTGGGGTGGTAGAAGAGCCAGGGACGTTAGGTTGGTTTACACCATTTGCCTTCTTCGTCTTTTCAGGTTCCTGGGGGAAGCCAAGATCCCACTCCAGGAGGTCCTTGCCACTCCCAGCCTGTCTGCCAGCTTCAACGCACCTCTGCTGGACACCAAGCAGCAACCCACAGGGGTAAATGCCTGCACGTGTCTGCCCATAGCCAGCTTCTGTTTGAGGCCCACTGGGTCCCTGCCTATACCTCATGTCAGGGGCCAGCTCCTGAGAGTTAAGCCTGGCTCTCCTTGGCTATAGCTTAGGGTGCCTGAAGGGACTCATGGTTGAGATCTGCAGGTCTCAGTGAAGCCTGCCACACCCCAACTTGGCTATGTCTGAATCTGGTCCATTTGGTCACCTCCTGTTCTGTGTTTCAGTCAGCCTTGACTGGCTCCGTAGTCTGTCTGGCAGACTGCCCTTCCTCATTGCCAACCCTCTTCTCCAGATGGGAAACCTCTGAGTCATCTGGGTCACAGGTCACTAGGGGAGGGAGACAGACACCTGGGGCCAGTCAGGACCCCTTCCTTTCCTTCTCTTGTCTTTCTAACCCCTCCCCCGGCTTTCCCATGCTCTCCTAGTCCACACAGCCCATTCCCAGGGTTCCTTACTGGCCTCCTGTTATTTTTAGTGGTCTAAATATACCCCACAGGGTTCTTTCTTCCTGGCCACTAGAATTCTGGGTCTGCCTACATGCCAGGACACAGAAGCACTGCCGATTGGGACTTACTTCTTCCCAGTGAAGCCCGTGTGGCTGTGGGCTCAAAGACAGGTTATATGTGTGTGGAGGGAGGGAGGCAGGGCATTGGCTGGTTGGGAGAGTCAAGGAGGCATTTGTTTGGGCTGGGTTGAATGGGACCACACTGGGTCCTCACTGGGAAAAGAGAGCAGCTGGGGTCCCAGTGAGCAGGTGTGCAAATGGGGCTAACACCCATGGTTCATCTTAAGACTCTTTGAGAGGAGCCTCTGTATTCCAGAACTTGCTCCGGAGACAGAGTGCCATCCTGCCCCAGATCATGTCACTCCTTGTAGAGTTCCATCTTGCCTTGGATGGTGCGCAATGATTCTGTTTTGCTACAATGCAATGTTTTCTGAGACACCTCCTGAGTCACCTCTTGCCTCCCCTTTGAGCTCTCTGGTCAGCTAGCACTTTAGTCTAGGAGGCCTTGAGAGGCTTTTACAGCTAGCTCTTCTGGGACCCTGAGGAGATTCCTAGCTGACTCTGCTGCCCGGAGCACCAGGGGAGCGCTGGAGAAGCTGAGATGCCAAGTTCTCTGCGATAATCAGCCCTCGTAGTCAGGGATCTGTTTGGTGCTTTGCTGTTATTCTTGGGTCAGAGCTGCCTCCTCCCCACAGCCTTCCAGTGGACCCGAGGTCCATCCCCAGAACCCACATTAAGTAAGATAGGAATGATGTGCTTGTCATCCTAGCTCTGGGGCATACTGACTAGCTAGTCTAGCCTAATGGTGAACCCTAGGCCAAGAAGAGACCTTATCTCAAGAAACAAAATTGATGGATCCTGAGGCGTGATACCCTAGGTTGACTTTGACCTACACACACACACACACACACACACACACACACACCCCACTACCATCACCACCACCACCAACAAAGAAGCTGGGTATGATGGTTTAAACCTGCAGTTCCAGCACTTGGGAGCCTAAGGCAGGAGGATTGCTGTGAATTTGAGGCCGGCCTGAACTATATAGTAAAATTAAGCCCAGCCCAGAATACAGAGCAACATACTGAGAGATTCTGTCAGAGAGCGGGAGAGAGAGAAGCTTCCGAGAGCAGTTCAAAGTACTCTGTGTCCCCTGTCACTTGGGTTGCGTCACCACCTCATAGCCCAACATCCTGAACAGCAGAGTGTATTGTTTGAGTTAAAGACCTTCTCCAGTGTAACTGTAGTATAGCTTTGACAGGGATGACAGCAATATTGATCTGGACTTTCTGGGCCATAGACCTCCTGGAATCTCATGAGTTGTGTATGCTGTATGTAGTTGTTCCTGTGCATCTGTGTGCACCAATGGAAGCCAGAAGTTGATGCTGAATCATCCTTCTCCATCACCCTCCACCTGTTATTTTGAGGCAAGGTCTCTCACTGTACCTGAAGCCCATGGTTGTGGCTGGGCTTCAGGGATTTCCCTCTCTCCACCCCATCAGCGCTGTGGTTAGATTGGCATGCACCAATACATACATACATAGTTTATGTGATGCTGGCTTTGTGCATGTTATTGGAACCTGAACCTGAGTTCTCCAGAAGAGCAGCAAGGGCTTTTAGCCACTGAGCCATCTCTGCAGTTTCTTTTTGTTCTTTTGATGTCTTTGTAATTTATTGAGAATTTCCTTTTTTCCCAAAACAAAAAGATGGCCAAGGCTTATCTTGTACAGTTATCTCTCCAAAGAGCACAGCTTGGCTTTTGTTGAAGTAGAGGAAAGATAACCAGTTGTGAAGAATCCAGGTGCCCAGGTTCACTGAAGCCATTCTTCAGCCATAGGAGGGAGGACACTCGGGCCTAGGAGTCTGTTTCCCTCTAAGTTACCGGCTGACAATGTTAACACTCGATGCTCAAGTGGCGACACCTGGTGGTAGTTTTTAAACATGCAGGACCAGTAACATCCGAGCCTTGAATGTGGGATTAAAAGGGTGCCAGTTGCGTCTGAGCTCTTTCCTCAGTGTTGTGACCCCAGCTGTTGCCTGTCTTGCTTTTATTAGTCTGTCTTTCTGTCCCTGTCCCCCTATCTGTAGGATGAAAACCTAATAACTGGGTACAATGGGAGCTGGAAGCTTCTCAACCTCAGGGCAGGGTTTGCCCTAGGAGTCTGGACGCTCTCCTCACTACTAATGTCTCGGTTATTATGACCAGTATTCCCCGCTGGAGTCTCTCAGATGAAGAGTATGTCAGTGAGCATTTGTAAAGGATTTTCCAGACCTTGGAAATTGCTTGCTATCTAATACCAAGCAGTTAACTACTTGTTTAAAAGATGGAGGTGAAGGAACTGGAGAGATGGCTCTGTGAGTAAGAGCACTGTCTGCTCTTCCAGAGGACCTGGGTTTGATTCCCGGCATCCACATGGCTGCTCACAACTATCTGTAACTCCAAATCCCAGGGTACGGAGCCGTCTTCTGCCCTCTGTGGGCACTGAACACACACAGTGCACAGACATACGTGTAGGCATAACCCCTGTACATAGAAAACAGACATGAATAAACCTTAGAAAGACAGAGGGAACTATATCCACATGGGAGGAATGAGAGAAGATGGACAGTTCTGTTCCGTGATTTTCTGCCCACATGAAAGGTGAGACCATTGTCTCTCCCCTGTGTGAGGATGTGGCAGGGCACAGCTTCCAGGAGGGAGGGGGTAAGAGGATGAGAGGCACCCGAGGGTGAGAACAGCTGGAGCAGAGCAGAGCCCAGCTGAATTGTCCGCATGGGGTGTGTGTGTGGGGGGGGGTGATGGCCAGCAGAAAGCTGGGAAACTTCTTCCCCGAACTAGACAAATCCTGTATGACAAGTGGGATCCCTCCTCCTATTTCGGCCTCATGAGACTTGTTGCCCTGACAACCCCCTTTTTTACCAACAAGGAAACTGAGTTTTTGTGAGGTTACACAATGTGTTCTATGTCACACAGCTCCTGAATGGGGGAAGTTGACCCCAAATGATGTGCTCATAACCGACTGGCTTTGCTGGGTGACTTTACTGCAGCCTCTTGCAGCCCTGACCAACCGCGGAGAGGGATGGGAGAGCTGGGAAGGATGGCAGAGGGAGGGTGTCGGTTCTCCTGCACACTTACCCATTGCTAACCCATCTCTTCTAGGCCTCCCTGGTCCTGCAGGTGTCCTACACGCCACCCCCAGGAGCTGTGCCCTTGTTTCCGCCACCTGCTTCTCTGGCACCCTCTCCAACACTGCCTGACATGGACATGGTGGCTGGTGAGGAGCCCACCTACCCCCTGATAGGCAGGGTCCCCAGAAAGATGGCCAACAGGTCTCCTCAATCCTGTTGTTAGGAGATGGCTAGTGTGGAGACAGACGTGGTGGGTGGGTGGAAAAGAAGAGGCAGGAGACGGCTCCCTAACAAGGCTTAGGATGGAGACCCCTACTCCCCAAATCTCAGCCGCCTGGGAAGGGCGGGGTCTGTCTGTGCTCTCCACTGCCCAGCTCTGGAGATGAGTGTGACCCGAGACCTAATGCTCTCTGCCTGGCACCCAGCAGTGATAGACTCTAACGGAAGAGCTACTCCCCCACCCCCACCCCATGAAATAGCCCTGAGCCAAAGCTAAGGGACATGAGTTTCCATCTTGCCTTTGACACTGGGCAGCATGGCTGTGGGGTGAATGTGAGCAGACTGAGGGAGTGAGCTGGCTAGGTCTTGTGCCTGCCTCAAGCTTTCGCTAGGCTGTCGGTGAAGATGCAGGCGGAGGAGCCTGACTGGCCAATGATGCCTGGATAGTTAGCCTGACAGGGCAGCCCAGGTTAGAAGCAGCTGAGAAAAGACAGTGAACATTTGCTTAGGAGAAGGTTCTAGAGTTTATCTTCTGGTGAAATGGGGGAGGAGGCACAGAAGCAAGTTATCATAAAATCTTGAGCAGCCCTTGCCCTCCCTGGGTAACCCGGAACCTGTCTTGTTAGGTTTCTGTGGAGAGGGAGGCAGAGGGAAGTCTTGTTGGCTCAGCACTGCCCAGGCCTGGAGATCACTGGGTTGGGAATCCTGAACTGGCAAGTGCTAGCTGGGCTAGGCTCATGGACTGCTGAGGGCTGTTTCTGGTTTGGGGGAGGGACGAGGCGCAGAGGTCCCAGATGCTCTGAGCTTGACCAATCAGAGGAGGTGCCCAGCTCTGCTTGGTGGGCAATGAGAAGGGCCAGCCACTTCTGAGCATGGTACCCATCCAGGCTGGGTGGGTGAGGATATCAGAGGCGAGGGTGGGGCTGCAGAAGATGGGCTTCTCTCATCCCAGCTCCTCCTGCCCCTCCCCACTTGGGCTATGCCCGGCTGCATGCCAGGTGGGGGACAGAGCCGGGCTGAAACTTGGTCCCTGCTCAGTGACAGCACCATGGACACAAGATACTCTGGGAAGAAGTGGCCGGCCCCCACGGGTGAGACATGGCCAGACCCTACCATCTGTAATTATCTTTTCTGGCGAGGCCAGAAAGGCCTGTTCTCAGGGCTGAGGAGGGTGGGTCAGGGCCATCCTGTCTTCTTTCTGCTGACTAACTACTCTCTGTTTTCAAGGGGCCAGCGTGGCCGCTGTCCCTCTTTGACCTTATCCATCCTGGGGACGGGCGGGCAGGCTTAGGGAGTGGTGTCACAGCATGGATGCTCTTTGGTCCGTCCTCTGTTGGACTGAGGCCTCAGGGCAGGGCCAAAGAGGCACCATGCTTATGAGGCACCTGTCCCCACAGACACAGGAGGGGAGGAAGACACTGAGGACCAGGGGCTGACTGGAGATGAAGCTGAGCCATTCCTGGATCAGAGTGGTGCTGTGGGCCCAGGGGGACCAACCACACCCAAGAAGCTACCTTCCCACCCTCCTCCCCACCATCCAGGGGGTAAAAGAAAAAGAAGCTCAGCCCCACCTAGAAAGCTGCTGTCGGACAAGCCACAGGACTTCCAGGTGACAGAGGGGCCCTCTGTGGCCCCTGCCTCCTCCTTTAGTCCATCAGCAGTTGCTAGCATCCTGGGCCTGGCTGGGTTGACTAGCCTTAGGATGTTATGCTGGAGCCCCAGAGGCCTCCCACGAAGAAGCTAGGCTGCCCTGGATGCTGGCAGCTGGATTGGGAGTTTGTGTTTTGGAGTCTAAGAGCATGTCTCTGCCCAGTCTCCAGGAGTTTGATGTACAAACAAACGAACAATGAGTGAATGAGATTAGCCTAGCTCTGCATCTCCTTTGTTTGGGTACCTGGCCTAGGGCTAGCTCCCTGCTCTCCATCCAGCAAGGGCAGGCATGAGTAGCTCCAGCAGCAGCAGCAGCAGTGTCCTCTGAGCTTTTCCCAATATTAATGGCATTTATTTATTTATTTATTTATTTATTTATTTATTTATTGTGTGTGTTGGGGTGGAGCATACAAATGCCCCTGTGAGAAGCATGGCGGTCAGAGGAAAGCTGGTGGGGGCTGGTTCTCTTCTTCCTTATGGATCCTGGGGTATGAACACAGACTATCAGACGTGGCAGCAAGTACCTTTACCCACAGGGTCATCTCTCTAGCTTAGTATTTAAAAAATTAAAATTATATATTTAATCATATGTGTTATGTCCCTGGGTGTCTGCACATGTATGTGCCACAGCATGTGTGTGGAGGCTGGAGGACAACTTTCTGCGCATCCTCTTCTACCATCTCCCTAGCCCTGTTTTGTTTTTTGGAGACAGAGTCCCATGTTGTTCAGGCCGGCCTCTAACTACCATGTGCCTGAGAATGACATTGACCCCTAGATCCTCTAGCTCTGCTTCCAAAGGGCTGGATTTAGGTCTGTGTGGCCATCAGGCCCAGCCAAGGTTCTCAGAGAAATAGACCTCTGTCCCCATTCAGAGCTGCTGAACCAGCTGCCTGAGTCTGAGGAGTTGTGAGGAAGAAAAATCATCCCAAGGTCGAGGCTAGCCTGTGCTACATACTGAGTACCAAACCAGTCTAGTCTCAGAGTAACCTATTTAGAAAAACAATAACAATAGTAGGGTAGGTATTAATAGGGTCTCAGATGGGATCTGTCCTAAGGAAAGCAGGGATGGATTTGTCTTTGTCCCAGGAGATTTTATGTAGGCGCCGTGTTTGGAGCTGTCTCACAGTTCTTACGAGGAACTATGGGCTTTTCTAGATGCAAGGGGGAGGTTGGTAGTAAAAGGTGATTGGTTTTGTAGTGTTCTTTCTAGAAGCTTTTGATAGTTCTCCCAAAAGTCATCAGAGAGCTGGTCCTGAGGTTTTTGACTCTTGGGGCCAGCAGGTGGCCTCCCTTCTTTCCTTTTGCTTATCCCTTCTCCTGACTTTCAGATCAGAGTCCAGGTGATAGAGGGGCGTCAGCTGCCTGGTGTGAACATCAAGCCTGTGGTCAAAGTCACAGCTGCTGGCCAGACCAAGCGGACTCGCATCCAGAAGGGAAACAGCCCACTCTTCAATGAGGTGAATGGCCCCGGGCATCAGGCAGAACAATGATAGCCCTTGAGAAGAGGGCCATTATCAAAAGAGCTGATACCAGGGCATGTGTCCAAGAGCATTCTCTTGTGGTGTCAGCTTTGAAATGTAAGCCAAGACCAGTGTAGACTATCAGAGGACTTGGAGAGCCCTGCTCCCCACAATGCAAGCATCCTTGTCCTTGAAGTGCTACCCCCTGTGAGGTAGAGATGGGACAGCCAGGCTTATTAGATCCCTAGACGTTGGCACTGGTCAGCTGAGCTCCACTAGTCTCAACTCAGGCTTGAACCTTGATGGGTGTCCACAGCCCCTCTGCTTAGCCTGAGGGTCAGAGATGCTGATTCCCCTGCTTCCATTCTGGACCAACAGACTCTTTTCTTCAACGTGTTCGACTCTCCCTCGGAGCTGTTTGATGAGCCCATCTTCATCACGGTAGGTCTCAGCCATCAAAGTAGTCTTCAGGGGTTGTGGGTATGCATGATAGCACGCAACAGTGTGATGTGATATTCACAGATGTGCCTGCCATTGTGCCTGTAAGCCTGTGTATGTGAGAGAGAGAGTGTGTGTGTGTGGGGGAGATTGAATGACTCCCAGAAGCTCTGCCAGTGTCAGATAAACACCCGTGTGCCTCAGGTTGGAGGCCTGGAACACCTGGCTTTTGGCTTGCTTTCTCTGTCCGTTCTGTGGTCTCAGATTCCTTCATGCCACTGGGAAGGGTTGTGTGTTTGATGTGTGGGTCCACCTCTGCTGTGTGCTCATATGATTCTGCACAATGCTCCGTCATTTCCCTGTGCCTTTGTCCCTTGATTTGTGAGGTGGTGGTCATGTTAGTATCTACCCACAGGGTTCTGTGAGGTGAGACATTGCTGAGCTCCGTTTCTGGAATGGAGATGGTTCCAGCTGCTGGCTGCTGTTGTCTGGGAGGGGCCTGGTCAGAGCCACTCTCTCACAGGAAGCTGTTCTTTCTTTGCAGGTGGTGGATTCACGCTCCCTTAGGACAGATGCCCTCCTTGGCGAGTTCCGGGTAATTGTTTCTTTATTTGGAAGCAGTCAGTTCTCACTTCCCCTACACGGCCAGGCTATGCTGGGAGAGTCTAGTTTCAACCCATCTCCCCCAAAACTCCAACTCAGGAAACCGTTCACCAAAGGTAGAGAAATAAAACATTTGATTTTAGGAAGAGTTCTTTTCTTATAGTTCAGGCCGGCCTCAAACTTATGGTGATTCTCCTGCCTCAACCTCCAGCAGTCTGGAAGTACAGGGGAGTGAGCCACCATGTGCGGCCTCCCTTTTATTATTAATTATGCATTTGACAGGAGGGGATGTGTGTCATAGGCAATATCTGGGACTGGGAAGACAGAGGAAGTCAAGTGGGTGGAGTACACCTTCAATCACATTCCTGTAGTCAGGGAAGGGGCTGGAGAGCAACCCCACACCAGCATGACACCACCACCCCAGCATGGCACCCACCCCAGCATGGTGCCCTCACCCCAGCCAGCACCCCTACCCCAGCATGGTACCTCCACCCCAGCATAGCACCCCTACCCCAGTGTGGCACCCCCACCCCAGAATGGAACCCCCACCCCAGCGTGGCACCCCCACCCCAGTGTGGCACCCCTACCCCAGCATGGCATCCCCACTACAGGCAGAGTTTCTTTGTGTCTCAATAGCTGCTCCCATATAATCACAATGAGGCTTAATATTAATTGTAAATGCTTGGCTAATAGTTCAGGCTTGTTACTAAATAACTCTTACATTTTAAATTAACCCCTATTTCTTACCTATGCCCTGCCACATATGTTCCGCTCTTAGTATGACAAGTTAATCCCCTTCTCTCCACATCTCCTCCCAATTCTGAAAGACCTTCCTCCTCTTCTTTGGGCTTTCTTTTTTCTGCAAGTCCTGCCTAGCCTCTACCTGTCCAGCTATTGGCTAGTCAGCTTCTTTATTAACCCAATCACAGTGACATATATTCACACAGTGTAAAAGAATATTCCACACCCCCATCCAGGCACAACACCCCCACCCTAGCACAGAGTTCTTCCTAGGCTCCTGTGGAAATTAGGGTGACCATCTGTGTGAGCTAGTTCTCTTTATTCAGAGTTTAAAAACAAAACTTTTTCCTTTGTGACAGGTTGTTTAACATCCTGGAGCTTGGTACCCTCAGAGGTCAGGCTCCCAGATGTCTCTGACCTTCCTTCATATTTTCCTTTGGAAGTGGAGCCTGGGTCCTTGAATGGTTTCCCACAGTTTCATGCTAACTTCCTTCCTGAAATGATACACTGCAAAGAGCTGGAGAAAGTACTTACACTCCCATTTTCCTGAGGTCAGCGTGTGACAGAGAGGGAGCAAACTCTACCCTTGTCTCCACCAGAGGGAATTAACACCCCCTTTTAAGTTCCCCTTTATCTCCGTACCCTGGAAGGGAAGCAGCCCAGTCTATACCCATGGCTATCTTGTGTGTCTTGGTTACTTTTTATTGCTGTGATAAGACACCATGACCAAATCAACTTATAAAAGAAAGCATTTAATTTGGGCTCACAGTTCCAGAGGGTTGTTCCATGATCACCACATTGAGGAGCATGGCGGCAGGCAGGCAGGCATGGCTGTGGAGCAGTAGCTGAGAACTTACATCTGATCTTCAAGCAGAAGCAGAGAGAGCGAATTGGGAATGACTTGGGCCTTTGAAACCTCAAATCACACCTTCAGTGACACACCTCCTCCAACAAAGCCACACCTCTAATCCTTCTCAAACAGTTCCACCAAGTGTGGACCAAGCATTCAAATATATGTGTCTATGGGGGTCATTTCACTCCCTATTGCACAATGCAGTTCTCTGCTTCCTGACCTCATCTTCCCCATGGGTCTAGAGTGGAGTTCTCATGGGCATCCAGGAGGAGCCTGCCCTGGCCTGCGTACTTTTCTTGGTGGCCAGGAGTTGGACAATGGACAGTCCACCTCTAAGTTAGTGAGTCCTGGAAACCCCAGGGTGAATTTAACAGGTCTTATAAACCAAAAAAATTGGGGTTGGAGAGATGACTCAGGGGTTGAGAGCACTTGGTACACTTGAGGAGGACCTGGGTTTAGTTCCCAGCATCCACGTGGCAGTTCCTAACCATCCATAATGCCAGTTCCAGGGGTTCTGATGCCCTCTCTGAACTCCACAGGCACAAGGCGTATATGTGGTACACAGATATACATGCAAGCAAAACACTCGTACACTTATAATGAAAGTAAATAAATCTTAAAAAATACATTAAGTGGCATTATGTAGCTATCCGTTCAGCTCTTGGATAGATTGCTTAATCTGTTAAAGATTTATTTATTTTTATTTTATAGATACAGTGTTTTGCCTGCATATGGTATGTGCTTTGCTTGTATATATGTGTGTTCTGGTTTGCCATTTTTTTTTAGCAGTTGAAGAATGGCATTTATTGGGGGTGAGGAAATATACATACAGCAGACACACAGAGAAAATGAAGCTCTGCAAAGTAGAGGAGGGGACTCAGGTAGTCAAAAAATCCTTTGTTTGATTATGCCTTTTCTCTATTTCAGATGGATGTGGGCACCGTGTACAGAGAACCCCGTGAGTTCCTATCCCCTTGGCCAAATCCTGACATCCTGGTCCTAGAGCTGCTTGGAGACACTCATTTGTGTGTGTGGGGACTCCCTTTTTCTTCCTGATGCTTTTGAACTTGGAGGGGAGGGTCTGCACTTGGAAGGGTAGGCAGGGATTTCTCTTCCATGAAAGCAAGTCCTCAGGAGCATCGTCAATGGGCTTCTTCAGGGGTGACTATCCCAGAAGGTTATGGCTAGAGCAGCAGCTAGAGCCTGGGCTCCCTCCAGAATCACTTTACGCTTTTCCTTGTTTGCCTGGTGATTTACCAAGGAAATGGGTGGGAAAGGCCCATGTTTGGCTTTTATTACCTCTTGTAGAAGTTCTCTTCTCTGAACACAAATGTCCAAAGTACTTTTTGATTCTTGATTAAAAAATGAGAATCTCTGAGACACTCATTGTCCAATATCAGTAGTAACGGATGGTGTCATGGTGTCTTTAGTACTCCAGGAAATCTGACCCTGCTGAGGAGCCAGCACATCCTGTGGAGAGCTCTTGGTTTCACACATCCATGGGGTGTGAAGACTGGTCCCTCTTCTGGTCAGGTCTTCTGTCTTGCCCTAAACATGGCAGACAGGACCTTCCTCTGTCTCCTGCAGGACATGCTTATCTCCGCAAGTGGCTGCTGCTCTCCGACCCAGATGACTTCTCTGCAGGGGCCAAAGGCTACCTCAAAGCCAGCCTGTGTGTGTTAGGGCCTGGAGACGAAGCTCCTGTGAGTACGCTCCTCACAATACCTGGTCCAACACCATACAAGACCCCGGGCTTGGTGTTTTCTTCTCTGAAAGGGGTGCATGGTGATCGTGAGAGCCGCATAACTGCAGAAAATATAAGTAATGAACAAACCACTCGAAACCCTGCTGCCCAGAGAGAGCCTTTATTAATTAGCTTCACACATCCTTCTCAAAGGGCATGCATGTCTAGTTTTCCTAGACAAAGGCCAAGTTGTTCTTTTAACGCTCAGTCGTGGCCTGATTCTCTGCCTGGGGAGATGTTGTGATCATCTTGACCTGTCAGGGAGGCTGAAGTGAGAGGCGGTCTGAGTTAGCAAATGCCAGCATCTTGCATGTTTGTGAAGAGGCTCAGATCCTCATGGAGGACAAATGAGGAGCTAATTGGACTTAAATGGAAAGGTTTGTTTGTTTGCTTGTTTGTTTTTGTTTTGGTGTTTCTGGGGATTGAACCCAAGGCCGTGCATGTGTTGAGGTGCGCTCTACCACTGAGCTACATCTCTGACCCTCCTTTTTCCTTTTATTTTGAGATGTGGTCTCAGTAAATTGCTCAGATTGGCCTTAGTTTGCCTTGTAGCCCAGGCTTTGACCTTATGAGTCTTCTGCCTCAGGCTCCCTCACTAGCTGGGATGATGTGGCCACACTGCTTGGCCTTCCTTGCAAACGACAGAATCCTGTAGTATGCGTAGAACACCATGTTCGTGTGAGGGCTGTGTGGTGAGACCATTGTTTTCAAAACTCTCAGTAGCTTTGCCGCAAGAGGAGGCATGCGGCTGTGCAGGAGTGTGGAGGTGGGCAGGACAGGAGCGGCGGCAGCAGCGAGAGGTGGAGGCCGAGCTGGCAGAGTGTCTGGAGACTGAGGAAGGGAAGGAGGAGAGGTGGGGAGGGTGAGAGGAGGGGCAGCTCAGCCTCTTCAATGTTTTTGGAGCAGGAGCTAGAATAATGGGCTAGTCTGGAAATACTCATAGAATCAGAGGTAACAGAGAAGTACACCCCACATTAAGAAGAGGAGCCATGGGCCATCCCTCTCTCTCCCTCCACTGTCAATGGGCTTGCTGTGCCTCTCTCCTCCACCTGGTTCAGCCAGCCCTTCTTCATCACCCTTGCTCCTGTCTTATGTACTCCAACTTCTTTCTCCTTCCCCAGAACCATACACTCAGTCCTCCTCTTCCAGGCCCTCTTCCTCCGTCTTTCGGGCCACTCTCACCTCCTTGTAGACACAGGGAATTAGAGGAGATGAATATTTTCTTCTAATTTGAGATGAATATGCTCCTAGCAAATGCTTGCCACAGATGCTGAAGTGGGCTTCAGTGTGGGAGACAGGCTGAGCAAGCAGCGGGCCACAGCCTTTTTGGGTAGCTTGCCAAGGCTGCTGGGCCAAGCTGACCTCACTTCCCTCTGCCCCTCCACTGCCTACCTGCCTGCCCTAAGAAGCCACGAGATGGCCCATGTTTACCGTTGTGCAGTGTTGCTGCCTTCGCTGGCACAGATGCATGTTCTTTCTGCAAAGGAGTGAGATCTAGGGAGCAGAGCCTCACTCCACCTTAACTGGGGTGCCTCACCCTTTAGCGCCATGCTGACTCCAGGGTCACTGGGTCAATATTTGTGTGAGTGAACCCACGCCCCTACAGATGGAGCATCAGACAGCTGCAACTACCACATTGCTGTATAACTGGAGTGGGGGTGGAGTACCCGGGAAAGGGGACTCTTGCAGTTGGCTTGGATGCCTGCCGTGTATGCCAGTTGGCAACAGTTAGTGCCAACTGTTAGTTAGTGTTGAAGATGGTCCCCCTCGCAACTAGGGAGTGTGTGTGTCATGGTCCCACTGCTCTGTTGAGGTCTAAGCCAATCGAAGGCCTAAGAGGCTCAGGAAGCACCCTTCATTGGAGTGCATGATATCCAGGGGCTGGTGAGGGATCCTGTGTGTTTTCTTCGTAGCTGGACAGGAAGGACCCTTCTGAAGACAAGGAGGACATTGAAGGCAACCTGCTTAGGCCCACTGGCGTTGCCCTTCGTGGAGCCCACTTCTGTCTGAAACTCTTCCGGGCTGAGGACTTACCACAGAGTGAGTGTGGCGCCCCCTTCTGGAGGCTGACAAGAGGCTCCTGCCTGGCGGTTTAAAGCATGGACCCTGAGCCACAGTCTCCTTCCTGGGGAAAGGAGAGGCCTAGGCCCTTTCTTGGTGTTTCTATCCCCAGGGACTACCCCGCTGTTCATTCCCTTCCTCCTTTTGATCCTGCTTCCTCCCCTAGGATCTGTTAGCGTTGCCAATGATACCTGCCTTTTGCTGTCTGGCTGATGTTACAAGCCCTTATGTGACGTACCCCTCCTAACAGTGGTGCACTCAACAAGAGCAGCTGGGTTCTAATGGAAAGCAATACATGCAGGAGGGCTTGGGTAGCTGCTGCAGCCTTGAGAGCAATAACTGCCCAGTGGCTCTGCTCCGGCTTTCCCCAGCCTGGTCTGGTGGTCTTGTGGAAACAGGAAGTCTTAGACTAACATTAGACCCTTTTTATTTTCTTTTTAAAGTAAGATTGGCCTACAGGATGGCCTACGGATGGATCACTGTGGTCATGGTATTAAGAAAATGCCACCAGGCACCCAGAGTGTTTCCACTGAATCAGCCCCACAGTCAGTCACTACATGTGACAGACTCTGAAGCCTGGTTTGAGGGGACAGAGATAGATGTGTGTGTTTGGGGAGGGGCAACTGCTCCTAAGCTGCTGTCCTGAGTCCTTTCTTCATGGGAAGCCCGAACTGACTCTCTCATGAGGGACCACAACCTGTCGCTTTGGTAGTCCTGATACTGCCTGGAGACACAGGGATAGCTGGGGCTGGAGGGGGCTAGAGGCTACTGATGAAGGAGGTGATGTGGGATGGGGGCTGGAGGCTTAGCAGGTGGGAAGAGACATAAGACAGTTGATTCAAGAGGGTAGAGCCGACAGGCAGCGACCCATATATCATGGGGACATTATGTATAGAGGAGGCATGGGCAAGCGGTAACAGATGTGTCTCTTCTCCAGTGGATGATGCCGTGATGGACAACGTCAAGCAGATCTTTGGCTTTGACAGCAACAAGAAGAACTTGGTGGATCCCTTTGTGGAAGTCAGCTTTGCTGGGAAAATGGTGAGGAGCAGACGTCTGAGGGGTTGTGGGGGGAGGAGAAGGCCATGGGTGGAGAGTCCAGACAGAGCAGGGTACCCCTGGCAGGGTTGCACAAACAGGGCCCTCTGGAAGCAACATACCCAGGTTGGCTTTCTAGGCTGCTCCCCCTGAAAATGGACAGGTGTGCCCAGATGCCCAGGCTGTAAGTGACTGAACAGAGAGGAGGGGTAGATGGTGGCAGAGAGAGGATTTGGGAGTATGGAGTAAGCATGTGAGAGAAAGAGGTGAAATACATATGACAGAAATTAAAAAATGAACTTGTTTATTTATGTGGATGTGTTCCTGGGTTGAGGGCACAGCCACAGTGCACATGTGGAAGCCAGCCGATAACCTATGGGAGTTGGTTCGCTCATTCTTTCTCAGTTGAACTCAGGTCATCAGGCTTGGCACCAACTACTTTTACCCACTGTGCCATCTTGCTGGCCTGTAAAAAATGTTTGTGTGCATGATATGTGTTGTTTGGGCAGGCATGCCTTGGTGTGTGTGAGGTGAGAGGATATCTTTGTGGAGTTGGCTTTCTTCTTTCACTATGGGTTCTGAGGATCAAACAAAGTTTACCAGACTATCGGGTCATGTGTCAACACACACACACGCACACACGCACACACATGCACACATACATGAATGCACACACATGCACACATATATACACATACATGCATGCACACGCACATACATGCACATACATCACTCATATTAAGCTTAAGGAACACATGGATTGTTTGTCTTTCTGAGTGAGTCTGGCTGATTTCACCTAATAGTTGCTGTTAAGTTCCACTCACTTTCCTTTGACCGCCATGATTTCCTTTTCTTTAAGGTTGTGTAGAACTCCAGTGTATTTGCACCACGTTCTCGTTTCCACTCATCTGTCAAGGCAGGGAGACTCTTCTTCAAAGTGTGAGGAAGCATAGTAATTGTTTTCACACAGTTATGGCAGAAGGCAGACACACAGAGAGAGGTGTCTGCTGGTCACCCAAGGGGTCACTTGCTCCTCCCTTCCTCCTTGCAGCTTACCTTCCTGCCCAGGTAGTGGCATCTGTCCCTGTTGACTTCTGTCCCACACCCCACAGCTTCAGGATTGTTTGTAGATATCACAGTATCTCCTGCAGCCGTTGCCACACCCAGGCTCCAGTGCAGCCTAGCTGCAAGGGACTCCACACAGCTCTCTTTGGCTGACTCTTCTCTTCCCTGCCAGACATCCTCATGCTCTGAACTATTCTACCTGTGGCCCTTTTGAGAAACTCTCCCCCCAGGTACCTTCCTCACATGAGACTCCATCTTAAGGACACCACCATCCAAGGTGGAGTATGTGGACTGGCCTCTAATCCTGTCTCTTTTCTCTTTCATATCCACATGCCAAGTCTAGCTCTCAGCCATCACCCAGGACCAGCCCTTCCTAGCCACGGTGTCTCCTCAGCCACTACTCTCTCTTCTTAGGACCACACAGCAGTCACTTTGCCACCATCTTCCAGTTCAGAACAGGGACTTTTTGGAGAACCTAGGCCATTTCTCCAAATTCTGAATTTTCTGATTGTTTTCTCTGGCATTTCCTTACTCCTTTGGCTTCTGTATTTCCTGGGCACTGAAGGTGGGTGGTTACCTTTGAAGGATTTTGCCTGGAGCTCACCACAGGCCATGCTCCCTACATTGTGTTGCAACATGACAGAAAACCACAGTGCCACATGTCCCATACCCTTTGGTTAATCCTCTACCTTCTGATCTAACCTGTATAAAGGCAAATGCCCCTCTTTGCAATTGACAGGTATTCCTAGGGTGACATCTTGATTCCCTGGGGATGTCCAATGTCCCAGTACCATCTGACCTGATACACTGAGTGTCCACCGACCTCTGCCTGAATAAGTCACTGCTTAGGGTTACCCAGTGCCCATTTTCTCATTTCTAGACATCTGTTCAATTCAAAAATTTTAACTTTTTTGAATGTGCATTAATGAACTTGTGTGCGTGTGTGTGCGTGTGTTTGTGTGTTGCCTATCCTTAGACATGCACAAAAGCTGAAGGAGGCTGTTGGGTTTCCTGTTCTGTCACTTTCTATTCTTGATACAGAATCTCTTACTGAAACTGGAGCCAGGTTGTCAATTGTTGAGCTCCAGTGATCCTTCTGTCTCCGTTTTTCCACAGGGACAGGGTTATAGGTGCTTGCAGCCAAGCCTAGCTTTTTACATGGTTGCTGGGGATTTGAACTTAGGTTCTTACAATTGTTCAGAGAGCCCTCTTTCCCTCTGAGCCCATTCTCCTTGGATTTTAAAAATACATTTTTTAATTGTTTGAGATTATAGTATAATCACATCATTTCTCATTTTTTTTCCCTCTTCCAAAACCCCCCACAAACCACCTTCTTTTAAATTCATGGCCTCTATATTGGATAACCAATCAGCATGCTCTTTCCTGGGGAAGACTGTTTATCCGTATCCCAGCATTCTTTAGTTGTCTGTAGTTCTTTGTGCAGGCAGGGTTGAGGCCTCATGGGCTTTCCCCTTTCATGTTAGCATGTGTCACACTTATTCAGGTCATGTTTAGGCAGTCATGTTGGTGAGACTTCACGGGTGTAGCTTTTCACACTCCTAGGAGACACAGTCTCACAGTGAAATCCCCGTTCTGGCTCTTACAGCTTCCCACCCTGTCTTCGGCAAAGATCCCAAGCCCTGGGAGCTGTGTCGATGATACCTCAGTTGGGCCTGGACTCCACAACTCTGCATTTTGATTGGTTGTGGTTTTCTTTGATGGTCTCCATCTGTGACAAAGAGAACCCCCATTCTTTGATGGGGGTTGATTTTGGCTAGCCTAGAACTTGCTTTGGATGAGAATGAACTTTGAAGCTGAGGATGATTTTAAACTTTTGATCCTCCTGCCTCCACCCCTGGAGTTCGAGGTTTATGTGGTGCTAAGGATTGAACCCAGGGCTTCAAGTGTGCTAGATGAACACTTTCCTAACTGGGCTACAGTGTCAACCTGCCCCTGTCCTGTTGGCTGTGGGAGCCTCTGTGGTACCCCCTCACCCTCCAGAACCTAATACAGAGACTCAGGAAAAGTGTCCAGTTACTTAGCTTTCCAGTTTGCTCCCTCTGAGGTGACAATGTTCTCTGCAGATCCTTGCTGATCACAGGCAGGAGTTGATTTGGTCTTGGGGTCTGTGTGTGCTGCTTCAGAGCTGGCCTCCTCAACGGCAGCATGCATGAAGGAAGCGGGGAAACAAAGTTTTCTTGGACATCTGTGCTTCAAGGCTGAGGATTTGACTTCTCCATTGACAGTCGGGAAAGGTCATGTCTGCTAGGAAGCTTGGTTGTTTTATCCATGGTTCTAGTGTGCTGCAGTTGCAGCTCCATCCCCTCTCCTTCAGGTCACCTACTTGCCTTGGTGCCCAGGCTGAGCGTGCTGTGGTCCCTGTCCCTAGTATGTCACCAGCACCCATGATCTCTCTGTGCTTTTATTTCTCTGATCTTCCTAGACTGCTGGTGTCTAGCGGGGGTGGCTTGGGAGACTGGATAAAGTTAAAGCAGGCACCACCCTGTGGTCCTGCTTGAGAGGGAGGATGGGGGCTGGGGAGTGAGCTGACAGGGAGGGGCAGCCAACTGCTTCTCTCGTCTTTAGGCCTTCCTGTCCTCTTTTCTACCCTAAGCCCTGTCCTCATCCCATCCTGTCTCCCCTGACCCTCATCCCATCCCGTCTCCCCTGACCCTCATCCCATCCCATCTCCCCTGACCCTCATCCCATCCCGTCTCCCCTGACCCTCATCCCATTTTCCCACAATTCTCACCCCATTCTTACCATTCCCCATTTCTGTCTCTGGTTCTAAGCTTTTATTTTTATTTTTTTTCTTCTTTACACCTACTTGCAAGCCCTAGGGTGCAAACACTTGGATGTTTCTGCATTTTTGCTTAAGGACGCTTGGTGGCACTGTTACCCAAGATGTACAACTTCACAATGGGCGGAGTTACTCAAGGGAATGGTGTGTGTGTACATTGCTTATGGTACAAGGAAAGAGGACTTTAGGGCAGGACAGATGCTTTAGACTTTTTTCTGGATCCAAGAATTAAACCCATTTATTGTATTGTGAAAAAAAGTAAGAGAAACAAAACAAAACAACAACATCAACAACAAAAGGAAATGAAGATGTCCGTGTTCCTGAGGCAAACCTTCTTGGGTCTTTTCTCTCTGTGGCTCCCACTTTCCCTTTCACGGTCCTGTGACTGGAAGCTGGCTGAAAGGCGGGTAGGGCTCAGCCTTGGCATCTTGGCTCTCATGTCATACACGAGGCCTTTCCTTGATCTGTTTAGTGCCAGGTTTGCGGAGAGGGGTGCTTCCTCCTTTTGTTGGGGTTCTCCTGTTTCAGTGACTTCAGAGTGTAGTGCTGACAGGCTTTTCTGCTCCCCAAGTGTGAAACGGATAAACCAGTTCCGCGTGAGCTTAATTCAGGTGTGTTGTGGGCGGCAAGCCTGGTGTCAGCTTAGGTGTGCTGCAGGCAGGCGGTGAGCCTGGTGTCAACAATGTGTGCTAAACCAGGGCTGCTGCAGCAGAGCCATGCAGAGGAAGGCTGTATGAGGATCTCAGAGGAAAACATGTCGGGCGAGCTGTAACAGCCCCGCCCGTTTCCTTTAGACCATGACTCAGTAGCCCTGATTCTTTGTTCAGCGTGACTTTGCAGATGCTGCGAGAAGCAAGAACCAGCTCTGTGTGAGCAGGTTGGTACAGCTCTATCATCCAGCCTTCCCTCGGGTTACACAGCCCAGCTTGCCACTCTGTCAGATGAATGCACAGCGGTGCTTATCCTATTGTATGCATGGATGCAATGTCAGCTTTTTCCTTTTTAATAAATACCTGGGTCAGCATACAGAAAGAAGTCTTTGTCCAAGTTCTGCTTTTCCATAGGAAAGTTTCTAGAACAAGGATTATTATTAGGTCAGAGGTCATGGACTTTCTTGGTAAAGGCTAAAGCAAGAAGCTGTGTTGGTAGGGCCTCCCACTGTGTATATCGGAGAATTTTTTCATTTTTATTTAAAATTTATATTTACTTTTTGATTAGATACTGCTTACATCTGCTATATATGGTTGGCCTATCCATCTATCTATCTATCTATCTATCTATCTATCTATCTATCTATCTCTATTCCTCTATCTATCTATCTATCTATCTATCTATCTATCTATCTATCATCTACCTATCTATCATCTATCTGTCTGTCTGTCTATCTATCTATCATCTATCTATCTATCTATCTATCTATCTATCTATCTATCTATCAATCATCTATCTATCTATCTATCATCTATCTATCTATCATCTATCTATCTATCTATCTATCTATCTATCTATCTATCTATCTATCATCTGTCTGTCTGTCTATCTATCTATCATCTGTCTGTCTGTCTATCTATCTATCTATCTATCTATCATCTATCTATCTATCATCTATCAATCATCTATTTATCATCTATCTATCTATCTATCTATCTATCTATCTATCTATCTATCTATCTTCTTCATCATCATCATCATCTCCCCCTGCTCTCGTCTCCATTCAACAATCCTCTTCTTTCCTTCACAGATGAGTTTCCTTCATCCCATTTTGGTTTCCTTATGTACGTATCAGCGAATGTGAGCATGGATTCTCACTTTTTGCCGCTCCAGTCTGTGTTTGTGCACTGTTCACCGCTCTATCCTTACTTGTCTGCTCTGTGCTGTAAAATAGAAACAACGCTTCCTTCTTTTCTGTGCCCATAGGGTCTCCTCTTTTGGAAGCTACATAGCACTCCACTATAGGTGGGCCATGCTTTCTTTAACTCACCCTCTGTTGGTGGATACCTGGCTTGTTCCAGATCCCTGCTAGCTCTAGCCGTGCTGCAGTAAACACTGTCACCCTGATCACACAGGTATTTCTGTAGAGAATATCTGGAGGAAGGACTGGCAGGTAAAAACGAGTTAGTTTGGTAGCCCTCAGCTGCCTCCCCATGGGAGTCAAACTATTTCATTTTCTGCCACTAGCAAAATACAGAGTGTGGTTTCCTTGCAGTCTTGCCGACAGTGGGTGTCGGGATAAGGAGGCGTTTATAGGTCTGGGGTGGGAGTAGAAACTCTCCAGCCTACTTCTGGTCCAGTGCCTTCACACGCTCCCAAATGATGGTGGCCGCGTCTCTGCAAATGTCAGTCCTTCTTTACCTATTGCTTGTCTGCTCTCCCTCTTTCCTCTGCTAACACCCTCTTCTGCCCCACCCTGGCAGCCTATGACTCGACTCTGTCTACAGGGAGGAAGGGAAATGGGAACAGGGGCTAGAACTGGATAGATGGGGGCAGAGATGGAGCCCTCACTCCAGGGGACCCAAAGTCCTGGATTTAATTCAAATACTCATTATCGAGATAGTGCATTTTAATAAAATTCTTGCTTTGCATGGGACAGACCTGTAAGCGAAGCCTGTTCACTATTGTTAGGAATGATCTTACTTGTCTTCCAAAACCACTGAGTCTCTCAAAACTTGTTATTTATTTGTTTATTTTCATGTGTGTATGCTGTGTTATGTTAATGTGTGAGTATACACATATACGTGTGTGTGTGCGTATATTGGTGGCATCCTCAATAAATTTTAACCTTATTATATTTTTTTTAAATCAGGATTTTTTATTATGTAGCCCTGGCTGTCCTGGAACTTGCTCTGTAGACCAGGCTGGCCCTGAACTCACATAGATCCACCTGCCTCTGCATTCTGAGTGCTGGGATCAATGGTGTGCTGCCACCACCCCCAGCCTTTCATCATATTGTTTTGAGACAAGGTCTCTCCCTGAACCTGGGACTGGTTAGACTCCCTAGGCAGGGGGCCCCATGGACCTTCCTGCCTCTTCTTCCCAACAGCTGCAATGACAGTTGTGTGCTAGCATGCCTGGCTTTTACATGGTTCTGGGCATAGAACCTGAGTTTTTGTGCTTTTGTGGCAAGGATTTTACTCACTGAGACATCTCGTCAGCCCTTGAAACTGAGTCTGCCTTCTTCCCCACTTGTGGGTACAGGCTGCCCTGGGACATCACGGAGCACTTTCCATTCTTGATATGTTTCTTCTTTGTAACAAACCTCTTTCTTCAGGTAGTATTTGTCTGAGGCAGGCTGTGGCTTCAAGGTTTCCTTCCTTCCTTCCTTCCTTCCTCCCTCCCTCCCTCCCTACCTCCTTCCCTCCCTCCCTTCCTTTTTCTTTTTTTCCTAACTGGAAATTGAATGTAGGGTTTTGCTCATGCTGGATGAGTGGTTTACCACTGTGTACATCCTCAGTGGTTTATGGGGTTTGTATCTCCACTGAATTCTGTTTCTCTCTTGGACGCTGATGTATAGGCCTGGGTACCTGGCCTTAATGAGAGATGGGGGTGTGGTTGGGTCCAGACAGAGCTTCGGCTTAGGGCGATGAGGCTGCAGCGTTTGCACTAGCCACCCCATCCTGGCTGCTCTCTTCCTTTGAGCCTTGTCAGTACAGAGCCTCCCTGCTTCTGAGCCTGCCACACAAGGCCCGGAGACCTGGGGTCTAGTGCCACACAAGGCCCGGAGGCCTGGGGTCTAGTGCCACACAAGGCCCGGAGACCTGGGGTCTAGTGCCGCACAAGGCCCGGAGGCCTGGGGTCTAGTGCCACACAAGGCCCGGAGACCTGGGGTCTCAGGTTCAGCTATGAGAGCAGCTAGTGCCACACAAGAGAATGGCTTCTGGGTGGATTGGTCACCACAAAGCTCAAACTCCACAGAGAATCCCATACCTTTCATGTCTCCTAGCTCTGCAGCAAGATCCTGGAGAAGACAGCCAACCCTCAGTGGAACCAGAACATCACATTGCCTGCGATGGTGAGTGGTCCTCCGTGGGACTCAGTGCATCTCCCGTCCCCCAGTCCTGCTGGCATCCTAGGCTTCTGCTCGGTGAGGGGTTGTTTTCTTTTAAAACTCTGCTCTCAACTGACTCCCTTTCCTTCCCCAGTTTCCCTCTATGTGTGAAAAAATGAGGATTCGTGTCATGGACTGGTAAGTTCTAGATCTCCAGGGACTCTTGGATCTGTCATATTCATGTACCTGGGCTGCTGCTATGTCAGAGAGAGAATGTGTCAAGGCAAGATATGAGGGCCGTGGGCAGTTATGGGGCAATCAGGAGCTGGGACGCCACACTGACTGCAGATAAGTAGGTTATGGCCAGGAGGTGACGAGGAGCTCACCTCTGGGGGCTTCCTGAGAAGCTGACAAGTCATCAGTAAGGGCCACATATAAGAGGTGGAGGCCAAACCATCTCTTTTGTTCCTGTGGGATGGAATGGAAGAAAAGCCCCAAGTTGGGGGTGTGGGTTATATTGTATGAATATGGGTCATCATTGTGGGTGTTGAACAGGTTGGGAAAGTAGCCTGTGAGTGTGTCTTAGAATCTTACCACTGTGGATCACCAACTTTTAGGCCAGGGCTGTGTCCAGTGAGCAGTTCCCATGTGTATGAGTTTATCTGACCCCTGACAAGAGGGCGGTCCTATGTCAGAGAGGAAGGCACAGGGAGGAACAACCAAACGACCTGCCTGAGGTGACAGTTCAGAAGTCACAGAGACCTGATGTGAATGTCAGTCAGAGCTGGTGCTCTTATCCTCCTCACCACGCTATCTCTCACAGTAGCAGCAAGGAGGTGCCTCTCTCACGCTTGAGGGACATCAGGTCCAGAAGCTCCAGAACCCCAGGCTTTCCACAAAGAGCAAGCTGTCCTCTCTCTGCCCCCAGAAGTCCTGATCATGTGGCTCCCTGGCCATTCTACTTCAGTTGCATGCCCATGGCACCCCCAACTAGGAGGATAATGAGAGACCAGGGGAAAAACCCCAGGCCGCAGAGCCATTAAAGTGTGTGCCAGTTCCCCAGGCCTAAAGAAAACAGATTGAGAGAATTAGAGGGAAAGGAGTGTGGGCAGGGGGCAGGGAGAGGTCCCCAGGGCCGCCACGGCTGGTATGGGCTCGGGGAAGGGGAAGCGGTTTGGTGGGAAGGTACACTTTGCGTTTCCAGAGTCATCTCCGCATGTCAGCTGGCAGTGACTGCGCTGTGTTGACTGGGACAGCCCAGTGTGCACGTTTGTGCGTGCGTGCGTGCATCTGTGTGGATGCATGTGGGTGCGGTTGACTCATGGATTGTGGCTGTTCCTGGCCTGACTCCCTTGGAGCTGTGTCAAAGCTATGAGCATACTGTACAATCCAAACATGTTACGGAATCTGGTGGCTGCATCTCTGGCTTAGGTCGAAGTGGCACTTTTATTGTGAGTCTATTTTGAGACTTGCTGTTTTCCAAAAGCAAGCCCTAAGCCTCAAAATCCAGTCCAGGCCAGAAAACATGCCACTGCTGGAAGTTTCTATCCAGCAAGCCCTTCTTCCCAGAGCACACAGATGAACTTCTGTAGCCACCTGAATCTCAGACATGTGACGCGCAGTCCATGCGACTCTGTAACTTCATCTTCCATTCGAGTCTTTGAAAAATCCCCCTTTCGTTAGAAAACAAAAATTCCTTGAGGCTGGAGAGATGGCTCAGCAGTTAAGTGTGCTTACTGTTCTTGGAGAGGATCAGGGTTCAATTCCCAGCACCTACAAGGTGCAGCTCATGACTGTCTGTAACTCTAGTTCCAGAGAATGTGACACCTTTTTTTTTTCTTTGCCTCTGTGGGCAACTACACTCAAGTGGTGCATGTAAACTTGTTCAGGCAAACACACAGAGACGTCAGAAACACAACACACCTTTCCCAAAGCCTCCTTAGCAGAAACCCCCTCCATAGAAACAACAAAGCAGTCTTATCCTCCTCCCTATTTGGACAAGGCCAGAAGTCAGAATCCCAGTTCTCTTTAACGGACAGACTTAACAATGTTTAAAAAACACAACCAGCTTAACGTCTTTGAGGCGCTGGGCTAGATTCCCGTCAGGACAAGAAACCAAGAGAGCGGGACATGTGACGTCAGCTTTGGTGCAGTCACCTCTAGGAAGTTTTCTCATGACACAGTGTACCAAGAATCATGATCCAGATCTGGGCTGCCAGACTACTCATTCTTCCTCACGTGGCTCCTGTCAGGGGGAGACTTCAAAAGCCAAACCTTCAATTTCCTTTCTGGGAAATCCAAAGAGGAAGGAAGGGCTAGAGGCTGGGGCATCTTGTGGGGGTGGGGTTAGGAGGACAATGAACTCAGCATGCCTTTGGTGTCTGGAAACAGTGTGGCATGAATCTGCCGTGACCAAAGTGTTCACAGTGGGGAAGAAGCCCAGGAACACCACAAAGAGGCTTGGAACGTAATAGAAAACCTTTCTGAGGGATCCAGGGCCTGCCCAAGATGGCATTGCGACCTTTAGTACAGTAATTCCTGTCTATGGGTCTTCTCCTTGATTTGAAAGTTGCTCAGAACCCATGACCTCTGCCTGTGGAGGCTGGAGTCTTCTCTCTCTCTCTCTCTCTCTCTCTCTCTCTCTCTCTCTCTCTCACACACACACACACACACACACACATAAATGTCTCCTGACATAGTCATCTGTGCTCTGGGGTCCAGCCATTTGGTGGAGAAGCCCAGGTCCACCCTTCAGAGGAAGGGACAGGTGGGGGTGGCCAGGGCTCTGGATTCTATCTACTCCACAAGTATCTTACCTCAGCCCTGTCTCTGAGATGTTATTTTAGTGTGTGTGTGTGTGTGTGTGTGTGTGTGTGTGATGTGTGTATGTGAGCATGCATGAATGGCAGGCATATGGAGGCCAGAGGACAACTTTGTGGACTCTATTGTCTTCTTTCACCTCTATTTGGTCCCCAGGGATCAGACTCGGGTCGCCTGGCTTGCAAGGCAAGTGCCTTTGCTTGCTGAGCCGTCCCACCAGCCCTCTGATAACTGATTATCTCGACGTCAGCACCCTTACCCGAAGCTGGCACTCATTGTAGTATATACCTGCTAGAGCTGATGAGGGGATCCTGAAAGCTAAGAAATGGGACCCCTTTATTGATTGATGGATTGTGCACATGCGCGTGCGTGTGTGCATATGTGTGTGTGTGTGTATGCACATGTGTGTGTGCGTGTACACTTAAGTGTATACTTGCATGTGGAGGCCAGATGTCACATTCTCAACTTTTCTCTAACTTTTTACATCAGGCCTTTCATTAAGCCTGCAGCTTGTGATTTAGACTAGACTGCCTGGCCAGCAAGCCTCAGAATCCTCTCAGCCGGGCACCGCCACACCTGGCTTTTTACTTGGGTGCTGGAGATTCAGACAGTGGTGACTTAGGTGGCATGGAGCCAACATTAGTGATCCCCATTCATTATTATTCAAGAGGCAGGTGTGGAGTTCCGAGGCAGGGTCTGCACAGGATTCTGTGGGCTTCAAGTTGCTCTTCCTAGATAGCCTACCTACACTGCACTGGCTGGGACCGGAGAAGTCTTCCTCTAGGAAAGCAGGAAAGGGGTCTTTCTGACCTTGCCAAGGAATATGACGCCTGAGTGGGAGTTGGGGTGGCAGTCCAGGCTCTGCTCCTTTCCCCCTGCTAAGGGGGGAGGGCCTGCATGCCTTTGTTCCTGTCTTCTCATTCCACAGCGGATGGTAAAATGTATTTGGTCTCTGAGCAACTCCGAAAGTCCTGCAGGGCATGCTTCCCAGCTAAAGACTCTGTCCAAGGCATTGCACATCGACACTAGTCCCTGCCGTGGTCTCAGAGATGGCTTCTTGGATCTTGGCATTTCTTGGGCTCCCGGGATCTTTTGGGTCTGGAAACTGCGCTTCTCAGCAGCCTCCTGCCGCTCATTCTGCCTGCCTCTGGCCTCCTCCCTGTCAGTCTGGGCTGGCGGCCCCGCATAAGCCAGCTGATGTGGAGTAGAAGGTTGTCAAGATGAACAAGTTGCCTTCGAGGTGTCTTGAACAGCTTCCTTTCTCTTTCCTCCTGGGCTCCCCAGGCCTTGGTAGAAGGCTGAACTCCTAGTGCCACCAGGGTCACCTCCTTCTTGAGTGGGCTGTGTGCTGCATCTGCTGCTTCCATTCACTCTCTTTCCATCCTTGTTCTAGGGACCGCCTCACTCACAATGACACCGTGGCTACCACCTACCTGGGTATGTCGAAAATCTCTGCCCCTGGAGGAGAAATAGAAGGTATGTCCCACCTGCTCTGCGTGTCTGTCCTTCCTCACTCAAGATAGGAGAGCCTGCAGGCTACGGGAGATTGTAAGGGTTCCACGATCTGTTTCCCAGTGATAGCTCACTTACAGACATTTAGGGTGCCACACTCTGAGTGGAGGGTACACACTGGATAGTCCAGAGGGGTCCCCTCAGTCTTGCAGGGGGCACCATGTGCTGGGTTCTACTCTGGCTATGAGTGCCCAGTGGTTCTTATATTTCAGTGGATTTTGTTGGTCTACTAAAATGGAACCCAGTGTCAGCTAGTGATCTGAAGAACACTGGCATTTATCATCACACTAACCTAAGTTGTTTGAGCATTGTTTTTTTTTTTTTTTGTCTCTTGGCAATATTAAGCCGAGTTCTTTGTTTTGTGATGAAGTATTCTTCTAGAACACATTGTTTTGGTAGCATAAGGATTGAACCCAGGGTCTTGTAGGTGCCAGCTGAGTACTCTATCAACTGAGTTACATCCCTAGCCCTTAGGATACAATTGTAATAAATGTGTGTTCCATTGTGAGTGTGCATGGTCAGTTGAGCTAGTTAATATGGCGTACTCAGGCATCTCTGATTTTTCTACCTTATAGCTAACTTTGTAACAAGTGTTTTTGTAGCTGAGTTCCATGCTGTACATATTTACAACAACAGCAACAACAAAAACAACAACAAAAACAAAAACACGGGTCTGGAAAAGGAGGCACAGAGGTTAAGACCATCTGCTGCCCTTGCAGAGAGTCAGGGTTTGGTTCCCAGCACCCACATTAGGTTGCTCATTAGGTAACTGCCTGTAACTAGTTCCAGGGGACCTGACACCCTCTTCTGGCCTCTAAGGGTACCTGCACGTGTGTGGTGCACATACATACATGCGGGAAAATTTATGCACATAAAATAAAACAAAACAAAATTAGGTTTGTGCTGCTGGGGATCAAACTTAGTGCCTCAAACGTGCTGGGCAAGTGCTCTATCACTGAGCTGCACCGTGTGCTCTCAAGATTTCTCTCACGCGTGGGTCTAAAGGCAAAGCTGTCGAAGGATTTTAACACTTTTAAGGCTTTCTCTCAATACTGAAGTTGCCCGTCAAGAAGGCTGAACTAATTTATGCTCAAAAACTCCCATACTCTTGACGGGATGCTGGTTCAACATGGCTAAAATAACACTGGAGTTGAGAGTGGTGGTGCATGTCTGGAATCCAGAACTCAGGAGGGGGAGGCTGGAAGATTAGGAGTTCGAGACCATCCTCAGCTACAAAGTGAATTTGAGGGTAGTATGGGATACAGGAGGCCCTCACTCAAAAGATCAAACAAACCAAACCAAACTACAACAAAAATTTCAAAAACCATACCAAAGAGAATTTTGTTAATTGGAAGGTAAATGTGATTTTTTTTTCATTTCATTGAGACTTAGAGAAATGGACCAATTTACATTTGAATTTTTGACATATATATTATAGTTATTCTGCTATAAACACATACTCCTGGTCTCTATTTCTGATTGTGTGTTTGTCTTTTTCTTACTTTTCTCCATGACTGTGGGCACTAACTTTGAGCTTGCTCCTAAGCAATTCCTATCAGTTATATTTGAATACTCTCTGACAGTTAGAAATTAAATTTGCATGTAGCCAAATCTATTAATCTCTTACTCAGCAAGACAGTGAACTACTATCACCTCCTCAAAATTCTTTTTTGGCGATGTCAGCAATGTGTTTTGACTGATCTGTTCCTGACGTCTCCAAATGCCATTGTTCTCACCTCCTAGGTTCCAGTGCCTCTTGAGTTCAGCCCTTTGCTTTTCTATTATCTTCAGGTAGTCTTCTTATTAATGCCTGCTTTTGGTATCTGAGTTATGCCGACTCTGTAAAATTAATCGGAAAGATTTAAAGTCTTTTAACATCTGGGAACAGTTTATATAACATAGAATGTAATCTTTTGAGGGTTTGAAACAGTTCACCCGTAAAACCATGTGGGCTTGGTGCCCTTTCTGGGTGGGAGTACTGACGGCTCTTTACAGACTTTTCAGTTTCTCTGTGATCATTGCTATTTTTAGGTTCTTATTTTTGCTCTTGTCAGTTTTGATCATTTATGTTTTCCTAGAAAAGCATGCATTATGTTGAGGCTTTGAAATATGTTTGCAGTGTTTCTCCCAGTGACTTCTAGCTGAGCTGCCTCTCTCTTCTTTATTGAGTTTGAATTTTCTCCTCACCCCCTCAATTAGCTTCTCAGCTTTTAAAATAAAACCTTTATCGGACATTTCAGTTCTGGGCTCTTTAACTCTGTTTAGATTTGTTGTTGTTTTTGTTTTTTGAGACAGGGTTTCCCTGTGTAATAGTCCTAGCTGTCTTGGAACTAAACTCTTGTAGACCAGGCTGGCCTCGAACTCACAGGGATTCACCTGCCTCTGCTTCCCGAGTGCTAGGATTAAAGGCGTGCACCACCACCACCTGGCCTGTTTAGATTTATTTTACTATTTCTTTGTCAAAATTTTTAACTAGCTTATGCTTATTTTAAAGTTTTCTTATTTAAATAACAAAAGTTTGGTTTCTGCTTTATAGGCCTTGTATAAATATTTGGCAAACCTGTGGGTTTTATTTAACCTTTTTTTTTTTTCCTTTTTGAGTTGGGTCTCACGTAGTCTAGCGTAGCCTTGAACTTGTTAACAAGGATGACTTTGAACTCTGGATCCTCCTTTCAAGTATTGAAGTTGTGGGACACACGTGTCGAGCATCACACCTGGTGTCTGTGATGTCGGTGAAGTTGTGGGACACACGTGTCGAGCATCACACCTGGTGTCTGTGATGCTGGTGACAGAGCTCAGCGTGTTGTGTATGCTGGGCAACTGCTTTGCCAAATGAACTGCATCCCAAATCTTTACCAGCTTTACTTATAAGGCTTATTTTCCCCTTTCGATATGTAATACACTTTGAATTTGCTTTGGTGTGTTTTCTGAGAAAAGTCTGCTTCGTTCCCTGGGTGGGAACCTGACCAGATTCCAGATGCCTCTCAAAGATGCTGGTCAGGCAACATTTATCTGTAAGTTCCAAGAAACAGCTTGTCGGGTGACCCTACTGTGTGAACTTCGCTGAGTGTGCTCACACAAACTGAGACAACATGACATCGCTGTGGGGCCACCGTCATCCTGGAAGCCTGGTTAGGCAGGATACCTTTGGTAGATTCTTGGTTGAAGTTCTCTGAGATAGGGGTTTCAAGCTGAATGATTTTTGTTCTGGCCTCTGCCATGGACACCTGAAGGTGGATGGGATCGTGCTGAGAGCTCTGGCTCTGCAGCCAGCAAGGGATTCATTCAGCCTCCTCTCTCTAAAGTGGGGCTCCCTGGCCTCTTCCCTCTTAGGGGTCCAGCGGATTTCCCACTGGCAGCTCCTCTGGTGTCTGGGACTCAGTGCAGAGGCAGCCAGGTCTTCATGCCATTTTCTCATTCTCAGTACTAACCTCCGTTCTGCCCCTCTTTGCCTCAGTTTGTCTTCCCACAGAAACCATCCCAAGAGGCTGCATCTCCTTTTCTTTTTTCCTGAGCTTGGGAACCCCAAACTCTTTCCTATAGTGTTCAAATGCTCTCCGGAACCTTACAGATGGAGAGCAGAGCCCTGCCTGGCGTTCGTCCTCTCTCTCTGCCCCTCACTGTCTAAAGAGCATGCTCAGTAAGGGTGTTCACAGACAAGGCAGGGTCTCTGTATGTCTCTGCCACTCTGAAGCTTTGGGGGTCCATGGGCCTCATTCCCAGTGTTCTCTCATCCCCTCTTTTAACTCCGCGGAAACATTTCAAAATAAAATATCTTTTGAGAAACAGAGTCACACTAAGTAGCCCTGCCTGGCCTGGAACTTGAAGCTCCTCTGGTGTCAGGTGTGCAATGGTCAGAGGAAGCCAGTCTGTCCTCAGACTCTTAGAGATCTGTCTACCTCTGGCTCCTGAGTGCCTGGATTAAAGGTATAAGTATTGCCACACGTGGCATTATTATAATTGTTGTTGTTATTGTTTTAAAGGCAGGGTCCCATGTGTCAGACTGGTCTTGATTTCACTAGGATGACCTTTAACTTCTGATCCTCCTGTCTCCAGTCCCCTCCCCCCCACCAAGTGCTGGGATTATAGGTGTGTGCCACCATGTTGGTTTATGTAGTGTGGTAGACTGAACACAGGGCTTCATGTATGCTAGGCAGGTACTCTTCTGGCTGAGCTATATCCCCAGTCCCCAGAGACTTCTAGTTACAGAAAATCTCAAATGCACACCAAGGTTGAGAATTAGCAAGTGAACTCAGTGTCCTGCCCTCAATGTCTAGTGCTGGTCTGCCGTTCTGACTTCCTCACTGATACTTTGAGCCATTCAGCACATACAGGCATACTTCTAGAAGGTTCTGCTATTGGGGAGGCTCCTTCCTTCCCAGCTATGAGGCCTCTTTCCCAGGATGCAGTCTCCTACAGGGAACTGGTCAGGGGGTCTGGGGCAGTGCTGCTTTGCACAGACAGACGGATGCACTGAGACAGGGACAGTATCTTATGTGGTGATACCGAGGAAGTTCTGGCTGCCCAGAATGCCACAAGTCTTCTTCAGCTTTCAGACTGGTACTGTCTCTGTCTCCGAACACAGGGACTAATGATGGTCAAGGCACAGTATGGCATTTTTGAGTGTTTTTTTGGCAAAGTTTCTGATATGATACAGCTGTGCCTGTCCTCAGCCACCTGATGAGAGTTTAGGCCCTCCTTCAAATCAGTCTTCATTTTTGGTGTGCTGTTGGCTTTCTTTTTATTGTGTCATTGATTTATTTACTCGTTCATTTGCTTATTGTCCTAGGAATTAAATTTAGGGCCTCGGGCAAGCTTGGCAAAGACGCTACCATTGCGTACTGTAACCAGCCTATGACCCAGGTTTAATGAGGTGAAAAAGTTGTTTCCATGGTCACTAGATGGCGCTCAAGTCATGAGCAAACCAATGTGCTTCAGGGGTGGAGTTAAAGGCTGGACCACTGACTGTTCTTCTTTTTTTTTTTTTTTTTTTTGGTTTTTCGAGACAGGGTTTCTCTGTGGCTTTGGAGCCTGTCCTGGAACTAACTGTGTAGACCAGGCTGGTCTCGAACTCACAGAGATCCGCCTGCCTCTGCCTCCCGAGTGCTGGGATTAAAGGCGTGCGCCACCATCGCCCGGCCCACTGACTGTTCTTGCACCCAGCTTCTGGAATGTGCGGCAAACTAGCTAGAATTAAATTTGTTGACCAAACTGGGTTATTCTTTGGGACTTTCCAGGTTCTCTGAGTTTCTGTCCTAAAGAGGTGGGCCCCTTTCTCAGGTGGAAGATCTGTCTAGTGTAAAGGGTGTCACGTACTTCACTGGGAACATGTCTCCGCCACTTTCCTCTCTTCTCTTCTGTCCTTCTTACTGTGGCAGGACAGCACTGTCTTATTCTCTCGTTTCTCCCAGAACCCAATGCAAACTGTACTCTAAGAACTGGATCTGGGCTGAGAATGGAGCCCAGCTGGTAGAGAGCTTGGCCAGCATGCAGAAAGCCCTGGGTTCCACTCCCAGCACCGCACAAACAGGACGGTGTCATGCCCCTGGTAACTCAGTGCTTGGGCGATAAAGTTGGAAGGATCGGAAGTTCAAATTGTCTTTGGTTACATAGTATAAGACCCGCCTTGGCTAACTGGTTGAGACTGTGTCCAAAACAATGAGCCAATCAAACAAACCCCACTCCTTTCTCCTCCCACCTTGAGGTTCCAGAAGATTTGATTCAGCATGGAGTTTTGTTTTTGTGTTCTTGTTTTTGTCCCCAGTAAGGACAAGACCTAACACTGCCTCTTAAGCCCTTCTGCCCACAAATTTGCCTGGGCACACCGAAGTATTCTTTGGACTCTGTGCACCAGTGTATTAAGGGAAGACTTTGTTTTTGTTAAAAAATGGAGTATGCACTCCCCTTAGATGTGGCAGTTCTTTTGAAAGGTAGTGGCATAGGGGACCTGTGACACCCATGGCATCTCTGGTACCTTCACCCATATGAGCATCATGCTACAGGACAGCACTGAGGAAACCAAAGTTGTCTTTGGACTATGGATGATGGTGATTTTCCCAGCAATCTCTCCTTTCCTCTCCTGCCCGGCCCAGGCGGGTGTCAGGCAGCCAAAGCCATGGACTTGGGGCTCTGCCGAGCCTTGGGAGCTGGCAGGGCTTGCTTAAAAGGTAATGGCTTGGCTTCTGCAGTGTACACACGTGTCCCCAGGGACTGCCTGCTGAGCTGTGACTTGCGGCTGGCAGCCTGCTCTTCCCTTCCAGTTCGCCCAGGTGAAGGAGATGGGCTTCACTCGCACAGTGAAAAGCTGGGCGTGTTCATATGGGCCTTGGGGCTTCCTCGGGCCCAGTTCTCCAGGCTCAGGGAAAACACAGCAAAACACTTGTGTTTTGGCAGAAGGACGGCCAGGACTAAATAGAGGCTTTGTGTCTGGTGGCTTCTCTACTCACCCTGCCCTTGACTTTATGAGCTGTCTGCAGACATGGGGCGAGAACCTGGGGTGAACCACGGTATCGGAGACTTGTGACGGGCTCTCACGTTGGGAAACACCGACTTAAGACGTCAGCAGGGCCATGCGAAGGCCCACTATGATAACTGCTTATGGTTCCTAAATGAACAAATACGCAATTGAACAAGGAGGCCTGGGCCATTCTTCTGGCCGCTAGCAGCAGGCGTCGGTTGGCTGGCTGGAGGGACTGGTAGACAACTCTCTCTGACTGGTTGCCAGAGTAAAAGTCAGTCTCTGGCAAGAAGCGTGCAGGGGTCACATCTGTGATCCTGGTTTCATTAAAGACAACAGGGGCCTCCTGCCGAGCATCATTTAGAAGGAGCTTCAAGTAGAATCTGGGGACCGTGGCTGTGCCTGTGGAGGTCATCCTGCCAAGGGCCCAGCTCAGTTCCTATAGGGAAACCTTCACAGGACACAGTCTCTGTCACACTGATCCTACCAGCCGGCAGTGGTAGCCAAGACCTGGCTGCAGAGATCTAAGGGCCAGTCCAGGGCCTTGCCCTCTTGGGGCCTTTGGCCTCACCTCTCCAGCTGTCTTTACCGCCCATATTTTTTAGCGTATTCTTCCTCCACATTCCTCTTTTGAGTCTTCCAGAAGTGTCCACCCTGGATTCTCTGGGTCACACTGGATGAGTGTTAACTTGGGCCACATTAAACCCAGGGTGTCCAAGTCACAGCTTCAGGGTTCTGAGAGAACAAATACATTTTTAAATTTTTATATTATGTGCATTGGTGTCTTTTGCTATGAGTGTCAGGAGCCACGAGCCATTGTGAGTGGCCATGCGGGTGCTGGGATCGAAACTGGGTCCTCAAGAAGAGAGTCAGCTCTTTCAACCGCTGAGCCATCTTTCCAGCCCCAAACAAATTTATTTTGAGTAACACTGCACCATGATAAGCCATTCCGGGTTGCATGTTGCATGTTTGTTGAACATCCTCTGGCAGCGCTTCGTGAATCTATGGGAAAATAAAAGGGTTAACATATTTTTATTAAAGTGCATATGCTTATATATGTGCATGTATATATATATGTGTGTGTGTGTATACATGTTCTGGCTGACAACATCTGTCTCTTATCTTCCCTGGAAACCGCTGGTGCTGAAAGCCAGACCCAGGTGGCTTCTGTTGATTAAATAATGTGTTGTGGTCTGTTGCAATACTAGACACTCCCACGAGGTGGAGATGTTGTGCCTTGAATGGCTTTGGCTCCATCTGCTGGACCCCAAGTGTCAATCTGATGTTTGGAGCCCAGGATGTTTGCTTGCTCACAATGGCTTTTTCGTGTTTCCCTTTTCAGGTTTCTTTCTCTGCATTACTCCTCCTAATCTACCAGAATAAAATGTAGAAAAAGCATATTTTCTTCTGTCTTGTTTTTTGAGTGTGTTGAATGGAAATCCATGTGAGCGGTGCTGAGGGCTGCCTGGTTGGAGCTGGGGGGGCAGGGTGTGTGCCCTCCTTTGTTGTACCTCCACAGTGTCTGTCTTCCAGCTCTCCATCCTGTTCATGTAACCATTCTCCACCAAGCCACGCCCACCTTAACCCCTTTTCCATTTCTTTATGCTTCAGAGGAGCCGGCAGGTGTACTCAAGCCTCCGAAAGCCACTGACCGTACGTTGTTGTCACCTAGGGGACCACAAGGGGATGGGACCTTGGGGTTTCTGCTGGAGGGGACTTTTATGACTTGGATGAGGGGGACTGAGCTGCTGCCAGGCCCCCGAGTTGACCACTGGCAAGTCTCGGTCACTGGATAACTGACACTCTAAGGCCCATTCCTCTAGCCTCCCAGGCCTTTCCTTTCTAGGCTTGTTGCCTCAGCTGATGCTTCCAGTAGGACAGGCATAGTTGGCCAGGGAGATTGCAAGGTATCTTGGGGATCTGGAGGTGGTCAGGGGAAGGAGAAATGCTTGACACATAATTCACAAGGTAAATCATAACGGTGATGATTGACACAAACAGTTAGTAGTGGTTCCCCTGAGTCCCATCATTCCAAGGCCTCCCCCTTTGCTTCTCAAAGCCAAACCTGTCTGCTCTGATGTCTGGAGGAGGAAACATGTGGAAAGGTAATGGGCAGGCTAGCTCCAGCTGCCCCTTCTCCCTGCACTGTCTCAGCGGTGTGACTTAAAGTGTACAGCCGCATGGCCCGCTGGATAGGTCTCCGCTTGCCCTGGCTCATTCTTGTGTGGACAGAGACACTCAGATGGGCCTGGTGGTGGTTCTACCTTGAGCATTTTGGAAATGTCTTTTAAAAGGAATACCCTGCCTCTGCAGGGTTTCAGAGTCTGGCCAGTGAGGTCTTGTCCCTGGAAGGGCAGCTGTGACATTATCAAGAGAATATTTTCCAGAAGGTGGGGATGATAAGGCACTGATTCCTTTATCCATTCTCCAACTTCCCATTGCACAATAAATGTGTATGCACGTGCGCGTGCATGCATGTGTGTGTGTGTGTGTGTGTGTAAGGAGGGAGGGAGGGATCCCTGGGACATTGCTTCTGTGGTCACCCGACTCTGGGATCATCTCTGTTCCTCCTCCCCCATAGCCGGAGAGAGAAGGCTGTGTATAGATCAGCTGAGTATATTGCACCATTTGGGTCCTGTCTTCTTGCTATCCTGTGATCAGTGACATCTCTGAGCCTCAGTTTCCTCATTTGTGAAATAGGACCAATAACATACTGGAAAATAGCCTCGTTTCAGCATACTGAGGAGTCACGAGACAACAGTCGGTCACAGTCATTGCTAGTGTATCACTACATATCTGGGGCGTGTGGGGACAATTGAGGGCTAGAGATGGGATCAGATCTGAAGGTGTCTGGAAGATCCACAGGGCCACCTCTCTGATTCCTGCTTGTGTGTTCCAGTGGATGACAACTTGGGTTTCCTCCCCACCTTCGGGCCCTGCTATGTGAACCTCTATGGCAGTCCCCGGGAGTTCACGGGTTTCCCAGACCCTTATGCGGAGCTCAACACAGGAAAGGTGAGTGGCCACACGTATCCCCTAAGGGTCTCCAGGCTGACCTGCCAGTGGCCGGGCCCAGATGATACCCGTGGGCCTCAGGAGGCCTGGACAGACCCTCAGAGCACCTCCTCTGTTAGGCCCTCTGGCTTCTTTATCCTGGGCCAGTCAGACCTGATCACTGTCTCCATCCCGACCCACCCAGGCCCATCTCTCTCAGCTGTCATCCCCATGGACTGGGTTGGAGGATAGGTGTATCCCATTCTGTAGGGGTGAATGATATTAAGTTGTCATGTGTTGTAGTCCCTTGGCTCTCACCCCTTCACTGGTGACCCGACTTTCTCTTGCAGGGAGAAGGTGTGGCTTACCGAGGTCGGCTCCTGCTGTCGCTAGAGACCAAACTGGTGGAGCACAGTGAGCAGAAGGTGGAAGACCTTGCTGCTGATGATATCCTGCGTGTGGAGGTGACAACACTGCTCGGGGAGAGAGCTGGGTCCCTGTAGGGAGTAGAGACGAGGTCGCTCAGGACCTTGGTAGAGGGCCTTCTTCGGTTCTGACCCATGTTTACTATGGCGGCACTTCTCAGGGCCCCTGAGTCTCAGCTGTAAGGTGGGAGTAGTGTGATACCCACCCCAGGGATGCTTTGAGGGTTAAGGGAGATAAGGGAAAGGATTGTAGGAACTCAGAGCTCGATACAAAGCAGAACACTGTTTTGTAAGGATTCCATGGAAACAGCTAGCCACAGCCAGTTCAATACCATTTACCACTGACATCTACAAATGCAGCAGGTGGGAAGGTAGCTGTTGTTAACTCCATGTATAGATGAAGACTCTAAGAGATACCAGAGCAAAGCACTGTCTCCAGCAGCATCTGGACACTGCAGTTCATGACCTCGGGTTTCCACACTGGTCCTGCTACCTGCCAGTTGCTTCAGTTTCTGTCCGTAGTCGTATTTACCTTAGGAGATGGTGGTGAAAACAGTAAGACTTGATGTATGCACACAGTAGGCATATAGTAAGTGTTATTGGTCCATTCACATGCTCCAAAACCTAACTTTTCAGCTCCTTTCCTCTCAGCTTTCCAAGGAGGTGACTAAGATCAGTGTTTCATGTCAAGACACATGAACGTTTTACATTGTCTTCGCCCTATGCCTTGGGCTTGGAGGGGCCAATTTGAACTACACGTTCTGTGCATATGGCTGAGGCTGCCTATGCAGAGTGCAAGGCTGCTTGGTGAGCGAGCGTGTGTGCGTGTGCGTGCGTGTGTGTGTGTGTGTGTGTGTGTGTGTGTGTAGCTCTGGGCAGGGCATGATTGTTGAGAGCTTTCAGCCCCTTTAAGGGGCAGATGAGGTGTAGGCTGCCCCGAGGGTCACTGCGGGAGACCCTGCTCTGTGGACATGGTGGTGCCATCGATGCTGGTTTGGATTAAAGAGCAGCCTGACCTTGGAGGAGCAGATTGTATTAGGAAACATGAGTGAATGCGCGTGGACCTGGAATGAGTTTGTTCAGTCAGTAACCAAGTCTGGAGGCTGTTCCTTTGGCTCATCAGCCACTCTCTGCCCAGCCAGGTGTCTCTAGGTCCTGGTCATGGCTAGGGCCTGGCATCTCTGGGGTCCTCTCTGCTTGTCTCCTTGTGACCTGTAGCCTGCTCACTCTGCCCACAGAAGTACCTCCGGAGGCGCAAATACTCCCTCTTTGCTGCCTTCTACTCGGCCACAATGCTGCAGGATGTGGATGATGCCATCCAGTTCGAGGTCAGCATTGGGAACTATGGAAACAAATTCGACACCACTTGCCTGCCACTGGCCTCTACCACCCAGTACAGCCGGGCAGTCTTTGATGGTAGGTGAGGCTGAAGGGACCTGGGTCATAAGATAGATACCAAAGCCTAAACCCTGCTTCCATGGAAACCACACTAACCCTTTCAGGAGTTCCTCTCTCCTACTGCTGGTGCTGCCCCTCATACTCCTTTTGGGGGACCCACTGTACCCTACCCCCAGATTGGAGTCCTGCAGGCTCTGAGTTGCCCTGGTCCTGAGCCATCTCCATCAACACACGGGGTCTAGGAGCTTGGCTTGGAGACCTTGGAGATGTGAGATTGGGTTTCCCAGAGGTATTCAATCAGCCCTCTTGTTTTGATGTGAGAGCCACAGGAGTCTGTCTCCCGACAAAGTGTGCTCAGGTACCTTGTCTGGAGACTGGGGACTACCAGCCACACCACACACACCTAAGGGGAGAGGAGAGTAGGATCTGTCTACCTCTCTCAAGCCGGGCCAGTTCTGAAAGCCCAGCGGCCTGAGTGCCGAGCTTTGCAGAGCCGTGTTTCACTGTCCCAGACCTCTGTCCGGTGCTCAGGCCCCTCTCCCCTCCCTGCAGGGTGCCACTACTATTACTTGCCTTGGGGCAATGTGAAGCCAGTGGTAGTCCTGTCCTCATACTGGGAAGACATCAGCCATCGAATTGAGACGCAAAACCAGCTCCTCAGGATTGCTGACCGGCTGGTGAGTGGGATCCTGTGCAGACGTGGTGCCTGACTGCTAGCTCTGCCGGAGGTATCTGAAGAATTGTAGAGAAGATGGGTATCAAGGGTGCTGGGGACACCCCAGGTGGATGTGGTAGATGGCCGAGAGACAGAGAGTTGAGAGATTGCTGGGGTGTCGGGTATGGCTGCTGTTTATTACTACATGCCTCCTGACTCTTATACCACACGCGTCATCTTGCCAGAAACTTCCAGCTTCCAGCCAGAAGTCAGAAGCTAGAGATCCAGGTGGCAATCATGGGTGCTGAGGGGGAGGTGTGAGGGGAACAACTAAGGAACATCAAGAGTATGTCATGGGGGGCAATGGGTGGATGTGGAAGAAAACCTCACCTAGGATATCTTGGCAAGGACTCGGGAGGACAAGTCCTGGTGCCAGGAGGTCGTGGGAGGAAGGTGGCCTTTTAGGGCATTGTGGGACTTGAGTGAGGCCTTGATACATTGGTCTGGGGAGATAAAGGGCTTTGAGAGAAATGATCTAGGCCCAAAGCTGGGGACCCCGGGAGAGGAGCAGAGGGTTTGAATGAGGGAAGAGTTCTGCTTTGGGGCTGAGCAGAGGCTTCTGGGAGCCTCTCTTCTCTTTCAAGTCAACCCAAGGGAGACAAGAATGGCCACATGGCAGGAATGAGGGACAGCAGTGGGGAGGAAGGGCTGACAAGGCCTGGGGACAACTGAGGAGCACAGTTGGGAAGGAGGCAGGAAGGCAAGGAAGGGGTGATGTCCCTGGAACTGGCAGTCGGTGGTGATGGGCAGCTATTGCCAATGGAGTGGAGTTGAGACCACAGAACCAGCGCTTGGCTTGCCACTGTATCCCTGTTATCACTTCAGAAGGCTGCGGTTCCCAGATAGCAGGGCTGAGGTTCCCCCAGGGAGGGGCACACATCATGCACTCTGGAAGACTGAGATGTGGAGGGGCTGCTTGGAGGACTGAAGCAGCGGGAGTGGGGGGGCTGACAGGTATTTCAGCTCAGGGCCCAGGCCTGGGGAAAGTGCCCACAGAAGCACAAGAGAAGGGATCAGATGGGACTCCAAGAGAGCCAGCTCTGAGAGTCTGGTACCTGTGCCCAGGCTCCATGGCTGCTGGAGGAGACAGTGGCTAGCTTTGAATCTGCCTGTGGCTAACTCAGTAAAGGACTGGCAGAGGAGTCTCAGAGAGATCCACTCCTCTGTGCGGAGTCAGGTCTGGCCTCAAAGTGGCAGGTGGGACGGGATGCATTCAGACTGAAGAAGTTCTAGCTAGCAAGGGAACCCCTGTGACCATGTGAGAGACTGGGGTTCTGAGGTGGAGGATGGGGGTGGGACTCCTGGGAGGTTCTGGGCTTGAACCGTGCTGGCGGATTGCATCTGGCCTTGTCTTTTCTTGCTCCTATTATCTGTTTCCTTCTGGCTCAGTGACGGGGCCTAGGGGTTGGGTCCCCCTCCGTGGTGACACTCCTGACCTAGGCTTGCCTGTTCCACAGGAAGCTAACTTGGAGCAGGTCCACCTGGCTCTGAAGGCACAGTGCTCCTCTGAGGACATGGACGCCCTGGTGGCTCAGCTGACAGACGAGCTTCTTGCAGACTGCAGGTAGGGGGTACTTGGCACCCTCCGATGCCTCTCCTAGCTCAGCCCGTCTCCTCAGGAGTGTTCGTGTGTGGTGGTGAGCAGAGGCACGTCTCCCAGCCACGCTTGGCCAGCAGTCTGGCCAGTGCTGAGCCCAGAGGTGGTGGAGCCGGCACCGGGAGTTGAAAAGGTGACGTTTAGAACAGGTCATAAATCTCCCCGCAGCAGCGGCAGCAGCTGTGGGCTGAGCGACCCAGCTTACCTGAATGGGAAGCATTGTGTGTCTGATCCCCGACCTCATAGCTCCCTGATGGAATCTCCAGGAGAAGCTGGGGTGGGGGCACCCCTCCTTCCCCCAAGGCCATGTTGTCGGGGACCATAGTTTCTCTTTAGGTTTCTACTGCACATGGTTGTTTGTCAGCTTCAGCAAAGGGGGGACTTGGGGTGAGGGAGAATAGGAACGGAGGTCAGCAGAGGGGGCCCCACCTCAGCATCTCTTCCACATCCAGGAGGGCTAGGGTAGTCACTGCAAAGAGAGCTTTGAAGTTGAACTTGGCATGAAGAATGACTACTTAATAATATCTAATCAATAAAAGACTGTCACCATGGGGAAGACTAGTGAGAAAGTGTGACTACCACAATGACAAATGCAAGGAGACCGCCCCTCACCAGTCTGGCGGCTTTCAGTAGCTCTGCTTCTTTGGGCCTTGGTTTCTCAGCTATGAAATGAACTTGGTTATATCCACTCTTATGCATTCTATGGGGTTCAGTATGAGGGTCGCTACCCCCACCATCCTGTTAACTGAGAGCCCTGTTGAAGGGGTCAGAGAATGCCCTCACTCTGAGAAACGCCTAACTGTGGTGGCACTTGTATGTCCTGCTCAGGAAGTACACCTCTACCAGATAAAGTGTTCCCGAAGGAACAGTCCTTCCCGCCCCCATCCTGCCCCAGTCAGGTCACTCTCTAAAACCAGCTCAGCCCCAGCTCTACTGGTAAGGGTATACCTTGAGCCCTCTAGGGGAGTGGGGTCCATGGGAGCTCAGAGCAGATGCAGCTGGCAGTGGAATCTTCCCAAAGAAGGAATGCCTGGAGCAAATGGTAGGGCAGGAAGTGCAGCCTAGGAGACCAAGGCCCACGTGCCTTGTCCTGAGTGTAGTCCTGAGATGCCTGCTGTCTGCAGGGGTACCTAGGACAGCTGATGCCTGGCAGGGCAGGCTTTAGGGGCTCTGTCAAAGCTCAGGCTTAGGTATGTTGAGGAAGGAGACCCCCAGGTCAAATGCTTGCTGTAGCTTCAGGGTGACAAGAGAGGAGAAATAGGACTGCTAAGTGACCTAAGATACAGGCGGCTAAGGCAAAGGTGCTGGAGAGGGCAGATGTGGAGGGAGCCAAGGGTTGCAGAGGGAGCCGAGAGCACCATAGACTTCATGACGGGCACTGCGCTGGGAAGGTTGTGTGTGTTCATTCATCATAAAGTTCTAGCCATACCATTCTCTGAGGGCCAAATAAAGAAATGGAGGCACACAAAGATTTGACGGACACACCTAGATTCACATGTCAAGCAAGTGAGAGAGTGTCCTGTGCTACTTTGTCACAGCTAGAGCTAGGGGCCTAGTCTGATTCCCTAGCTGTGGCCACGACAGTTAGGTGGGCTTTGGCCATTCTCTGAGGGTTTAGCAGGAGGAAAGCAGGGTGGGGGTGATGAGGCAGCAGGAAGCTGGCCTTGGTATTGAGGTGGAAGGAATGTGGTGCTGGGGGGGGGCACACAGGGGCACAATAAGCTTGCAGGGGCCCTTGGGTGGGGTGCCTTCTCAGAGCATACCACACCCTGGTCGTGCCTACAGAGAGGTTGCCGTGCCCAGTGATGCCCCTTCTGGGACAGTGGCTGGCAGAACATGGGTCCCTGCAGAACTGCTCTTGGCAGCTGTGGGGTCAAACAGGGGGGTTGGGGGGGGTAGGAGTTTGGAAATGGGTGGGACCCAATCCCTGGCAAATCTGAGGTGCTGGAACACTAGAGGGTTGTAGGACTTGGTCCTAGGCTGTCCTCAGTGCCCTCTTGGGAAGAATTTGTCTGAAACACTGCCAAACCAGGCTCTTCTGTCATTCTTCTGGGAGTAGGGGATGTCCAGCCTCTAGGGGGCACCAGTTTAGGATAGGAGCTTGCAGTGGGGGTGGGTTCCCATCCTCTCTGGGTATCTGACAGGATCTTCAGGGAAGGGACTCCAGATCCATTCCCTCCAGGAACTACCTGAGGCCACCATGCTGCCTGAGGCTTTAGCATGAGCAGGTGTCATGGCTGACCAGGGCTGAATACTTGCTATCCGCTATCCTGTCTCTAGTTAGGGCACTTCCCTAGTCCCCGACCCCATCCTTCCACTCTGCACCCCTCAACCCCACACCCATGTAGCAAAGCCCTCTCCTCTGATCTTTGGACTCACTGTGTTTCCTCTCCCTGTATCTGTCCTGGGCCAGGCTGTTCCTGAGACCACACATGCCGCCCCCCCCCCCCCCCAATTCCATCAGCATCTCCTGTCTGCACAGGTTCACCATCTTCAGAGACCACAGCACAAACCTTATCAGCTCACACAACCTTCACCTCCCTTCCCTCTCCCCAGCCCAGCCACCCACCCTACCTTCCTCACTCTCTCCCCCGTTTCCCTTCTCTAGCACCCTGGAGAGGACTGTTTTCCCACAGGGTGGCTCCTAGCCCTCATGCCTTATGGATCGTTGCTGGTTTGTTGGCCCCTCCCCACCCTATAATGTACCCCTTGCCTCTGTGTATGACTTTCTGCCTCCGTGCTGTCCCATTAGCCCTTCCTGGCATTCTACATGGACTAGCTCCTGTCAGCCCTGCAGGTGTAGACCAGGGCCACTTTTTCCAGGGAAAACTCCAAGGAGGCTTCTTCAGGGAATAACAGGCTGTCTCAGTTTCTCCTCATGAGAGGGTCATCTCTTTGGACTCAGCCTGGAACTCAACTCAAAAATGAATCCAGCTCATTCTCTGGGGGTTGGTCCTGATACAGTTGCCAACTTGATCCCCAGGGACAGGTGGTGACTTGGTGAACAGCCGGCTCTGCTCTGGGTATTGTGTGGCCAGGCTCCATCTGTAGGGGGGGCTAGGATGCAGTCTCCTTCTCAGAATCCCCTCCTTTCTATACCCCTGAAATGAACTTCTCTGCCGGTGGGGAAGAGCCAGGGCGTCTTGTGAGTGGTAAAGACTGCGCTTGGCTGGGCTAGTCTTGGGAAGTTTTGGTTGGGTGGTCTGCTGGAGGGTCCTCCCTGTTTTCTGACCTTGGCTGGGCTTCTCCAGCCCTCTGCTCCACTGCGCACCAGGGCCCCTCACCCACCATGCAAGGCCTCCACCCGCTGCCGCCGGCCCGGGGCTGCCGTCCGTGGCACCCTCGGGGCAGTAAATATTATATTACCACAGGGTGTGCAGTACGTGACCTGAGACGGGCCCCGGGGCTTAAGTTTCCCCGAGATGGAGCTCGCGCACCCGCTCCCCCCACCCTAAAAATTCAATTAAAAAAAATAACAGGAAAGACGCAGCGCGCCGAGGGCCTGCCAGAGCGGTGCCGTGGCGCTCCGGCGGTAATTGGTTCTGCATAGCTTGGGGAAATTGGCAGAAAAAATAAATCAGCCGGGAGCCGGGAGTCCAGACGCTGCGGGGAGGGGGCGGGGGGCTGCAGCGTGGAGCAGGCCTGGCGCAGCATTGACGAATGTCCTGTTTGAGGGCAAGGGCTGGGCCAGCTGGAGGGTCCTGCTTGGGAAGGGAGAACTGGAGCTCATTCTCTCTTTTTTTAGCATTTCTTCTGGGTATGCACACCCAGCCCTGGAACAGTGTGGAGCGTCCATCAGCGGGGCTTTTAGAGAATCCCGGTGTGATGGGCCGGGGATCAGAGATCTTTGCTCCTACACACGATGGAATTTACTTTTACCCCTCACTTGGGCTTCAGCGCTGTTAGTTGAGGGCTGCAGTATCATACCCAACAGTGCTCAGAACTTTCCAAAGCCCAACTCAGGATTCTGGGAGGGCGGTCTTGGGGCAGCCAGGGTGGATTCTTCTGTATTGATGGCTGCTGGCCTCCCCACAGTCTCTGCAGTAGCTAGCTAGTCAGGGGTCCATAAATTTCTTTCTTGGAGAAAGTGTGCGCCCAACACAGAAGGGATTTATTTTACTGCGGGGCAACTTAGACTCTGGCCTCTATCCTAGACAACACAAGGGGGCAAGAAAGGGACCCTATAGGTCCTCTGAGAGCTTGCAGTCAACTTCGAGAGGGGATACTCATACAAAAGAACCCACCAGGCTGGAGGTTGGGGTGAGTCCCCAAAGGCTCTCCTGGGAATAAAGAGGCACGTTTCAGGGTAGGAGTAGAAGGGCCAGGGTGTGCATGGGAGACATCCTGGAGCAGACAGGCCACAAGGTGAGCGCCCAGCAGGCCCTTCTCCTATATTTATAGGAGCAGGGACCCTATAAATATACACACTTGTGTGTACCTGCATACACGCACCTGTCTCTGGTGTGTGGAGCCCTGGTGAACAAGCACATTGCACCTGTCTTTCCTAGCCAGCCCCTGTGTGACACCCATGAAATACCTTCTGCCACCCACCTTGATCAATATCTGTTTCGGCTACGTGGCCGTCACCTGAGCCAGATCAAAGAAGCTGCCCTGGCCTTGAAGCTCGGCCACAGTGAGCTCCCCACTGCCCTGGAGCAGGCTGAGGACTGGCTTCTGCGTCTCCGTGCCCTGGCTGAGGAGGTAATGAATCCTGAGGGGCCTTTCTTCTTCAGCCTTCCTGCCTCCTGGAATGTAGACCAAATGTTTACACTGTGATACATTCTGGGTCTGTTGCTGGGTGACCTCCGGCCAGTCACTTAACCTTACAAACATTAGTATGCCCATTTGTGGGACACAATAACATACATACTAGGTGCTACAGGGTCCAGCTCAGAACCTGACACACAGTAGGTACTCAATAGATGGCCTAGTGACCCAAAGGATGTCAGAGCAAGGCTAGTACCAGAACCCAGAGTGCCTGGCTCTAGGTGTCCTGTTGAAGCCTGCTTACCAGGAACCTGACTCCTGGCCCACTAGTGCCTGTCTGTAGGAAGTGAGGATGGTGAGAAGCGATGGTACCCAGGCATGTGCAGGGAGAGGGTGTCTGGAACAGAGGACTGAAGAAGGGCAATGGGAAGGGCTTCTTAGGAAGGGCTGATGAACCCTAGAGCTTCCCTGAGCATGGTGGTAGGCACATGGACAATTCCCTGGGCATATCTTCATAGTGGTGAGGACTGTGCCCCAGGCTGGTCGTTGGCTGCCTCTAGAATCTTACTCCTCATCCTCCCCTCTTCACAGAATTTGTTCTATGGCTAGGGGAGGGCAAGTGCTGAAGAGCCCTCCTCAAAATCCTTCCAGTTCCTACCCCTAGGTCTGGGGCCTCTCTCTCTGAGGAGCCCTGGAAAGGTGGTGAGGAGCCCCTGTTGTGGTGGTGCCTGCTTTTGTGAGCCTGCAAATCTTAGGGTCCTAGGGCTAGTACGGGGAAGGAGGCTCGGGTGGGCAGACTACACCTTCCACAAGACTCCATGCTCTAAAGCAGGGGCATCTTCCCAGAAACCCATGGGCATCTAAGAGACATTTGTGGGACCTCCTCTGGAAGCTGAGGGCCAAAGGCAGGGCCATGAGTGGCCAGGATGGCGTGGGAGCTGGGCGAGGCAAGACTTTGTGGCCTTTGAGAGAGAGGTCAGGCGTGGCATTGGGTATGCCACCATCCCCACCTTGACTGCCATTCCCTCTCCAGCCCCAGAACAGCCTGCCAGATATCATCATCTGGATGCTGCAGGGTGATAAGCGCGTGGCTTACCAACGGGTGCCCACTCATGAAGTCCTCTTCTCCCGCCGGGGCCCCAGCTACTGCGGCAGGAACTGTGGAAAGCTCCAGACCATCTTTCTGAAAGTGAGTATTCTCTCTGCCAGGGCCATCATAGGGTTTTCTCAACACAAGGCCTTTCTTCAGCTTCCCCTGACTTCCCATTCAGCCCTGTTCTGAAACTATCTGAAGGCCCTCAGATGTTCATCTTGGGAAGAGAGGGGTATTTGAGTAAAATACCTTCCTTCCTTCCTTTCTTTTTTTCTTGTTTTTTTTTTTTTCGAGACTGGAACTCACTTTGAGACAATACTGGCCTCGAACTCACAGAGATCTACCTGACTCTGCCTCCCGATTTTAGGAATAAAGGCATGAGCCGCCATGCCCAACTAAAAGATCTTTGTTTTTCTTCAGTTTTTCTTAAACTCTCCAGGCCCTGCTCAGTGAGTTTAGTGTGTTTTCCAGTAGGAGCTGGAATGTGGGCTTGGAAGTGAACAAGGAAAACAGAGCATGGTAGTAACTGCCTGTCCTAGCATTTGGGAGGTGGAGGCAGGAGGATCAGGAGTTCAAGATCATCCTTAGCTATATCCTGAGTTTGAGAACACCCTGGGCTACTTAAGACCCTGTTTAATTAAGGGCCTCAAGTGTATGTGGGGGGTGCTTATGTATGTGTCCAAGACTTCATTGGCTCATGGGGCTGGTCTCTTTTAAGAATCATTCCCAACCTCTACCATGGCCTCCAGATCTGCCCCTGCGGCCTCAGGAGCAGTTGATGGGGGGGAATGGGAGTAGGTTCTTGTGCAAGGGCTCCCATCACCTTCTCTAGGTGAACTCTGAGATACAGAGCCCTAGTGGCTTTGGTCATGGCTTCAGCCAGATGATTGGAATACAGGCCCCCTCATGAGGTGACTTCTCTGTGTACAGCCATTCCCAGTGGCCGGGGAGTTAGCTGTTTCTTACCACTTCTCGTTGTTGTGCTTTCAAGGCCTCTTCAGCCTATACAGTTTGCCCCCCTTCCAGCCTGGCTGGTTTTCCCGAAGTGTCTACTGCAGCTATTCCCTTTTTTACATGCTACCTCCTATCTTCAAGCTTCCAAGAGGTCATCATTGACCATATCCCAGCCTTGACCCTTCTGAGTAGCGCCAACTCCTGGCTGCTAGCCTACATGTTTTTCTGTTGGCCCATCATTCTTGCTGCCCCTTGGGGTGGGAAGCCAGGGCTGGCTCCAGCTGTATAGCCAGTGTAAACCAGCAACAGGCTGGTTGCAGTTCTGTCTGGCCTTGAGCATGTTACCAAAGCTCTCTGAAGAGCCCACTTTCTTCCCACCTATGAAATAAAAAGGAGGCGGTCTACCTCACAGGCATTGAGGACTGAACTGGACAGTTCACACTGAGGTTGGTGGTTGATGGACACTTGTTCTTCTCTCCCTCTGCTCTCCTCTTTCTTTTGGGACTGTCCCTTGCTCTACAGATGCCACATTTGGGGATCTGTTATAGATCAGTGTGCTGGATAGTTTTATGTCAAGTTGACACAAACTAAAGTCGTCTGAGAGGTGGGAACCTCAATTTAAAAAAATGCCTCCATATGATTGGATTGCAGGCAATCCAATAGTCCATTTTCTTAGTTAGTGATTGGTGGGAGAGGGCCCAGCCCATTGTGGATGGTGCCGTCCCTGGGCTGGTGGTCCTGGGTGCTAAAAGAAAGCAGGATGAGCAAAGCCATGATGAGCAAACCAGCATGGCCTCTGCATCAGCTCCTGCATCCAGGTTCCTGCCCTGTTTGAGTTCCTGCCCTGACTTTCTTCAGTGATGAACAGTGATATAGAAGTATAAGCCAAATAAACCCCTTCCTGCCAAGTTGCTTTCGGTCATGGTATTTTATCATAGCAATGGTAACCCTAACTTAGACAGCCATGTCTGAGATAATGAGTATGCTGGGAGAGTGACCTTTCAGAGGGGACGACATGGGGTTGTGTGTGTGTGTGTGTGTGTGTGTGTGTGTGTGTGTGTGATCACCTGTTCCTGGACCATCTGAGGCACATTCTTTGTTTGATCCTAACCTCAAGTTCTAGCCTCAGATTGGCCTCCGAGGCTGACCCTCTCCTTGTGTGTGTGGTATGTAGAAGGGGAGGGAGTGTGGGAATGGGTTGGCAAGGCAACGGGTGCTGAGAGTACAGGCAGGCTGTAGCCAGGCCTGGTAGACTCTGGAGCATCTCTCCCTCCAGTTCTGACCTATTCGCCCTGAAACCTCCAGGAGGGGAACTGAGAATGTTCCCTGATTCCAAGCAAAGGAAGAAAAAAAAAAAGATACCGAATTGTTTCTCGAAGTCTTCCCCACTGAGTTCATGAGCCTGCCAGTAGCTCCTGAGCAAGCGCTACAAAAATGTTGGCAGCGGGCAGAGACCAAGCAAACACTGGTGTTCCTTAACTTAAACCCAAGCTGGAAAAAGTGAGCACCACAGAGGAGAGGAGCCCCAAACTAGACATTTCTTTATTTGCTGTTGCTATTTTGGGTTGGGCAGGCTGGCCCCGTCTGGGGGAGGTTGGTGGTGGGGAGCTAGAGGTGGGGGAAGAAAGGGAGGAGGCAGGCATTCCTGCCATGTCCCAAGGGCTGGTGGCTTGGAGGGAAAAGGACAGCTAGCCACCCTGAGGGAGGGGACAGCTGAAGGGAACACCACTGAGAGTTCCTGGACACGGGTGGGGTAAGAGGTGTCTCCATACTTCTCCAAGGAATGACTGAGAGGAGTTGGGTTGAGGAATGGGATAGGGTCAACCAACAATGGTCGACGCCGCTTCCTATGCCTTCTCTTGGTCTGGGCTCTGCCTCCAGGGGTCTGGGCCTTCCCCTTCAGCTTGGGAGCTCCCACCCTAGCTTCTCAGCCTTTTCTGAACCCACCCAGACTCCCTGCTGCTCAGTGAGTTATCTCTCACCCTGGTGTCTCCTCGAGGGGACAGGGTGTCATTTTAAGAGGGAGGAACTCCACTCCCTAAGGCCGAATCTGACCTTTGGTTTCAGTCAAATGGTGAAGTAATCCTAGGGAACATATATATGTTTTTAAATGTTGGGTTGTTGTGGTTATTCCATTTGGCAGAGCTTCTGAAACCTTTGGGATAAAAAATAGCTGAACAGCTAAGAGCGGTTAACGTGCTGATAAGCACTTGAAATTGTGGGGACATTAGATGCAGTGTTCACGTCTAGCCAAAGCATGAAGTACTGAAAATGAAACGAAGTGGCTTTAATTGCTCCTCTTCTGGAGCTGGGTCCCCGGCTCTTCTGTTTCTGGGATGGTGCTGTCCAGCGCAGCAGCCTTGTGTAGCTGTTTAAATTAGTTAATGCCAATTAAAATGAAAACCCCAGTTCCCTGGTTACATGAGCTACTTGTCAAATGGCCAGTGGCTGTCCTATTGGACCTTGTAGGTCTGAGCCATTTCCATTGTAGTAGAAAGTTCCCGCAAATGACAGAAGTAGGAAGATAAGTGGCAGAAGGGGATATTAGAGACCCTGTACATGACCCCATCTGTAAAGGGCTCCTACATGGTTGCTATAGTCTTTTTTTGATGAGCAGGACTCTTGGTTCTATACTCCATCTCTGTGATATTTGGTGTAATTCTCTAATGGGATACACCTGACTGGGTGTTGAGCCCAGGGCTGTGAGTGTTTGTGTTTCTTTGATTGCAGTATCCCATGGAGGGCGTGCCTAGGACCCGGATGCCTGTGCAGATCCGGGTCAAACTTTGGTTCGGGCTCTCTGTGGATGAGAAAGAATTCAATCAGTTTGCTGAGGGGAAACTCTCTGTCTTTGCTGAAACGGTGAGTACCTGCCCGCCTACTGGCCCTTGGACCCTGGAGTCGCGTGATCTCTCACTGGTTTTTCTTATTTGGTCTGCAGTATGAGAACCAGACGAAGCTGGCGCTGGTTGGGAACTGGGGCACAACAGGCCTCACCTACCCCAAGTTTTCTGACGTCACAGGCAAGATCAAGCTGCCAAAGGATAGTTTCCGTCCTTCCGCTGGTTGGGCCTGGGCAGGGGACTGGTTCGTGTGTCCAGAGAAGACGTGAGTGGTAGTCTCAGGGTGTCCAACCACAGCTCCCCGTTCTCCCCAGCCCATCCTCTGACATCTTGAGCTCTGTGAGTCCTTCTACCTGCCCAGCTGTGCCCAGCTGCTCCGACTCTCCTGGGGCTGGTGCTTAACCAGGAATAGCTCGAACACTCAGAAATAAAGTGCTGCATGTGGCTGGGGAGACACTCAGTAGACAAAGCACTTGTCATGCAAGTGACTTGATGCGTTCAGTTTCAAACCCGTGATGAATCCCAGCATAGTATCTGTCTATAACTCCAGGGCTCCTATGCGGAGTTGGAAACAAAGACAGGAGAATCCCCTGAGGGCCTTGGGCCAGCTGGCCTGGCATACTCAGCGGTAAACAACCAAGGGACCTCATCTCATACAAATGGGAAGTGAGGACTGACACCCAAGACTGTCCTCTGACTTCCACATGGATGCCCTAGTATGTGTGCATCCCCAAAACCTACACCTGTCATGTGTATACACACATATTTATACATATATGGATATATATTATGAAGCATACCTTAGAGTTGGCACCCAGTCATGTGCCTTGTCCTTTGTGGTACACAGAGTCCTGTCATTGCACATGTGTGACCATTCCTGTTCCAGGCAGCTCACTTGCTCCCTGAATCCCAGTTTGTGCATCCTTCTACGCCGCCTCAGCCACTCTCTACACTTTTCATAGCTGGGTGACATCCAGCACCTTTTTAAAAAAGCTTGACATTGAATCTTTAATGTACTTCTTGATGATATTTTCTTTGTACTGTCCATTGGGCTTTGGCGCCTCTTATTGGACCCCCTTTCTTCTTTTGCCTTGGATGACTCTTTCTTTCTTTCTTTCTTTCTTTCCTTCTTTCCTTCTTTCCTTCTTTCCTTCCTTTGAGAAAGGGTTTCTCTATAGTTTTGGAGCCTGTCCTGGAACTTGCTCTTGTAGACCAGGCTGGCCCCGAACTCACAGAGATCCACCTGCCTCTGTCCCCGAGTGTTGGGATTAAAGGCGTGTCCAACACCGCCGGCTTGGGTGACACATTCTATGGCCCGTGAGCATCTCTACCTGCTCTGAGCCTCCTGTTTACCCTCTGTCCCCGTCTCTCTGCACTACCCCCTCTAACTGTGTTGTGGTGAGGTTGACAGTGCAGCGGGGCTGAGGTGTAATTCTCTCCTGGAAGCAAACCATGGCAGGGGTATCCTCAGTGACTCTCTGCCTGTCCTCCCCAATAGCCTGCTCCATGATGCTGATGCCGGTCACCTGAGCTTTGTGGAGGAGGTTTTTGAGAACCAGACCCGGCTACCTGGAGGCCAGTGGATTTATATGAGCGATAATTACACTGATGTGGTAAGGGGTGCTCCAGGTGGGCAGTGCATGCTTTCCCCAGGGTCGTGGATGTGTGGTCCCACAAAGAGCTTGAGATTCAGAAGATTGGGTGTCTTCTCCCCTGTTCCTACTTGATGACCTAATTGCTCTGTGCTCCAGAAGGATGGTGTCCTCGAATCATGTGGGTGCCCAGTCTGTATCTTTTCACAACTGCCTATTGTATCTCTAGAATGGGGAGAAGGTGCTTCCAAAGGATGATACTGAGTGCCCACTGGGCTGGAAGTGGGAAGATGAAGAATGGTCCACAGACCTCAATCGGGCTGTTGATGAACAAGGTGGGAGCACACAGAGGCTGGGTTCTCACCCGGGCCACCTCTTAGCTGTGCCAGTGAGACAGCTGAAAGCCCCAGACAGTTGCCTGGCTTTCATGGGGTGACTTCACCTGGGAACTTCCTGAACAGGCCTCCATTTTAAGCTGCTCAGGGTTTGAGCATGCCCCCCAAAGAGAGAGAGCTTAGGAGAGATGGGGGCTTGCTGACAGTGATTTACAGGTTTCTCCACCCCTTAGGCTGGGAGTACAGTATCACCATCCCCCCAGACCGAAAGCCAAAACACTGGGTCCCCGCTGAGAAGATGTATTACACTCACAGACGTCGGCGCTGGGTCCGACTGCGCAGGAGGGACCTCAGCCAGATGGAGGCACTGAAGAGGGTGAGCCAAGGGGAGGTGGGTGGAAGTGGGGCTTGTGGACGGAGGAGGCCAGTGCACATAGAAACGCCTGAGTGTGCACAATGTGCACACAGACACATAGACCTGTCTTAGTGACTTTCTGTTGCTGTGATGAATAAAGCATTATGACCAAGGCAGTTTAGAGAAAGGGAGCTGGTTTGGGCTTGTAGTTCCAGAGGATTCGAGTCTAGCACGGCTGGGAGTCACAGCAGCAATTAGCAGGCATGGCAGTCAGAACAGGAAGCCCAGAGGTCACCTCTTGAAGCATAAGTGTGAAGCAGAGAGAGAAAACTGGAAGTGGTGTGAAGATTTTAAAGCCAAAGCCCACCCCCTATGACATAGTTTCTCTAGTAAGACTATACCACCTAAACCTCCCCAAACAATGCCTGGGGGACATTCTCATTCAAAACACCTCAAGACCCAGTGAGTTCACTGGTGGCTCTCCCCCAGATCAGTTGAGCACATATACACACCACACTGAAAATATGAGTCACACTGTGCACACTCAAAACAAGTAGATCACACCAGCCTCTACAGATTGCACTTGGCACTCACAGATGCTTACATATGGATGTCCAAGTACTGTCACTTCCAATCCCCAAAGGCTCAAGGATGCCAAAGGCAGTGCTTTCCACTTGGTTTCCTAGAGGGAGACTCGGTGATTTGGAGGCTCCAAGGCAGGGGCCCTCAAACCCTGCAGATACTCCTTACCTGGAGGCAGGAGATGGGTCCACACCACCTGAGCTGTCTGCCACTGGCTGGTGGGATGTGCTATGATATCTGTACCACAGAGACGTGGCTTAGTAGCGGTGGGCTGGGTCCTGAGCCCACCCTTCTGGCTGCCGGTGGTAGGCCACAGTGTGAGTGTATTGGCTAGCGAGAGACCAGAGAAGAGCCATCAGTGTTCACCTAAGGACACCATGGAACACAGGACAGGCCCGCAGTACTTTCTTGTGAGCACACATGAACACATGCACTTGTCCCAGAGTCTGGGAACGCTCATGTGCAGCCCCCCCCCTCCCCCAAGGACCTGCCTTCCCGGGTCTTCTGGTCATCTATTCTTTTTTTTTTTTTTTTTTTTTTTTTTTTGGTCATCTATCCTTCACTCATAAGAACACATTTGGATTTAGTAGCAGAGGCAGGCCTCTCCCACTCTTTAAATGGGAGAGTGTTTAGGGGACCCGGCTTTCTTTTCCCCCTTAGAGCAGTACTCTAGAGAGGGACTGTCTGGGTCTGGGGACAGGTGGTGTTTTAGGCAAGCCACTGTGATGGCATTCTTCCTCTGCATGGAAGACACCCAGTTGTTAGAGGTGTGGGCCTCGCTTGGGATCCCAGCCTGGCTTGATAGTTAACATCAGTGCCATGTCACTCCCTTATAGGGCTTGGGGTCAGACATGTGCAGGCTTCCTGCAGGAAAGGGTGCCTTCCAAGGAGAGATGGGCCCCTCACCGTCGGCCTAGGTGCACATCCTGGGAGAAGTCCTCTGGCCTTAGGAAGCAGGTCTTCATTTTGCCTCTGAGCTGCAGGCCCATTTCTATGTTTAGAAGCTGGGATGTGAAGGAGAAAAAGGAAATGACAGGAAAGCTTGGATTCGGGCAGTCCACCCCTAGTTCAAATAAACAGCCCGAAGCCCAGTGTCTAGCTCTGCTGCTGTCTACCTTCCCTGCTGGCCTCCTCGGCTACCCTGTGGCCTGGAAGTCTCCTTTCTCTCCTGGGTTTCCTACCTCAAGGCTACTCCAAGCCACCTTCTTGCAGGTGGTTCTTCCAGGCTTACCCCTTGGAATCCTGCCCTGTCTCTCCCTCAAAGCTGCCTCCTCTCTCCTACAGCACAGGCAGGCAGAGGCTGAGGGTGAGGGCTGGGAATACGCCTCTCTCTTTGGCTGGAAGTTCCACCTGGAGTACCGCAAGACAGATGCCTTCCGCCGCCGCCGCTGGCGCCGCCGCATGGAGCCACTGGAAAAGACCGGACCTGCAGCTGTGTTTGCCCTCGAGGGGGCCCTGGTACATTGGGTTGCATCTGGCTGGGCTTGGGTGGGGTGCAGCTCGCCTTTCCAAGGCTGATGTGGGACAGGCATGGAATCCCTAGGGTCATGGTTTCAGATGGAACGTTGGCCAGCCATCCTGGCTTGGGTCCCTGTGGGGTGGCATGTGGGGAGAATGAGCAGCATTCTAGGTGTCTTCCTAAAGTAAGGCAGCTTCTTTCTTGACACTGAAAGATCCACTGCTTCTCTGAGTGTGAAGATGAGCAGTGGCCTGGGCCTCTGAGTGGCTCACCAGACAGTAAAGCCCAAGGACCTAGAGTTTCCTGCAGAGATAGCCTGGCAGGGATGAGGGAAGTCGGGGAGTGGCCATAGAGGCCTGGTGATCCTGGCGTATCCTTGAAGGACACAGTTCTCCCTGGTGGGGGCTTTGATAGGGTTTGGGGGAGACATGCCTGAGAAAGGGAAATCCTGGGTGACTACTGTTTCCCTGTGTCATCTTCTATAGTGAGTAGCATTGGAGTCAAGATCAGGGTGGTGAACTCCAGGGAGAGATGATGGGAATCGGAGCGGGGACATTTGGGGGTTGGCAGACAGCTTGTTCTCTGTTTTGGTAGTCTAGAGACTCCTGGAGACGGACCACCACTTCTGAAATACAGCCAGTATTATGTATGCATTTTTTATGTGTACTCTGGGGTGCAGACCTGGGAAACAGGTCTTGTCAGCCTTTACACACACGGTTGCCTGTGTCAATGTATGTGTGCTTATCAGTGGGTCAAGGCAGCTGTGAGGCCTGGGAGAGTCTGGTGGGAGTAGGCCCAGGATGTGATGAATGGAAGCAGAGAAGGAAATAGAAGCCAGTGGAGCCCCCTCCCCCCCAAAACACCCAAGGCTGGCCAGAGAGGTCCTTCATCTCAGGTAGTGCAGGGAGAAGAAATGCCCCTGAAGGCCAGGTAACAGCCTGCAACAGGCTTGGAGAGAGAGCCTTCTATTCTTAAACAAAGCCCTTGAGGGAAGCAGTCATCCTGGGCTCTGGGCCACTAAACAGTTGTCAGCCAGGACAGGAGCAAGTGAGATAACTCTGTGGCTTTCAGGAAGCAGGACTGTGTGTAGTTGTCTTTGTCCTGTGTTGGCCTGGTTTGGGCACTGGGCAGGGCCTAGGGAGAGTCCTGTGGCTGAGGCTGAAGGTTGGAGTGGAAGAACTTGAGGAAGGCCAGGCAAGCACTGAAGGGACCAATTCATTCCGTTAGGCAGAGACTCAGGCTGGGGAGATGGGTCAGTGGGCAGAGTGCACACCTGGGGCTATGAGTTTCATCCCCAGCATCCACGTGAGAAGATCCAGGTGTGGTGGCATGTACTTGTGCACTCAGTATCGGGCAAGCAGAGGCCTAACCACGGAGACCCAGGTTCTAGGGAGAGATTGTCTCAGAAAACAATGTGAATGCCACAGAGAGACTCTGCTCATATGGGCTGATGAGCAAGGGGGCTTTGGGTTTCACTCAGCTGAAAAGTGCTCTGAAGGGGAAGCGGGTATCAGGTGGCAGGAAACTGAGGTCTTCAGGGCATCCCTGGGACTCGGTCCTCTGTCTCAGCCTCTTCTCATGCTTTTTTGCTCCTTGGTAGCAATGACGGTGGCAGAAGACATGCCACATCCTGACAGTCACAGGACCCTGCTGGACAGGCATGCTGCCTTTCCCCCATATGGAGAGTCTGGAATGGCTCAACCCCAGGAAGGAAATGGCTCCAGCTGGTCGTGTGTGCCTGTGCCAGTCCCTGTACCTGGGGTGAGGGGTGGAAAGCTCTGAATGACCACACTTGGGCTCTGTGATTGACAGCACCACTAGGTTTGAGAGAGGAACTTCTGAAAAGGAAAAGAAACTGGAAATAGTGGTAAGCAGAGAGTTCTGGAAGGCAGATCCAGGCCTCTTCCCAGGGGGTACAAGGGAGCCAAGGGCACAGTTGAGCAGAGGCCAGGCTCTGGCTGGAGCAGGGCTTGGGGATCATGAATAAAGCAGCTATGGGAAGTAACTGAGAGAGATAGCCTCCCATCAGAAAATCCAAGCCTAAGGCTACCACGTGGGGCAGGAGCCGTGGGACCAAGGTGATATTTGGATTGGCAGAGGGACACACAGGAGTGTCAAAGGCTCAGCAGTGTAGATGGGAATTCTGGCATCTGATGTAGCTGTGTGAGGTATAGTGGACCTAGTGGCTGTCTGATGGGTGGCCATGATGTGAGATTCCCCTCTGTATGCTGTGAATATCATTGGTTAATAAAGGAACTGCTTTGGGCCTATAGCAGAGCTATAGGGGAACAGAGCTAGGTGGGGAAAACCTAGCTGAATGCTGGGAGAGAGGAGGCGGAGTCAGAGAGAAGCTGTGGAGCCACCACAGGAGACAGACAGATGTGCTGAAACTTTGCTGGTAGGTCACGACCTCGTGGTGATGCACACATTATAGGAGATGGGTTAAATTAATATGTAAGAGTTAGCCAATAAGAAGCTAGAGCTAATGGGCCAAACAGTGATTTAAATAATACAGTATCTGTGTGGTTATTTCGGGTCTGGGCAGGAGGGAACACACTAGCGGTCCTCTTACAACATGGCCAGGTCAGGAAAGCAGGAAGAGTTGGGGTTGAGTGTCTGCTGGGAGGGGCGGGACACATGGTCAGAGGTGCCCAGACACATGGCCAAAGGCAGGTGCTAGAGCAGGGTGGGACTTGGAGAAGGAAGGCAAGCAAGGAAGGCTAGGAAACATGGGCCAAGATTCTCCTTGTAAAGACTGGGAGAATGGAATATGATAGTGGTGATATTTCCAAGAAGCAGAGACATTGACTAGTCTGTTGTTTGTGGGAGAGCGTGTCATGGGAGGGGCGGGGTTCACTGATGTCAAATGTCAAGTTGACAGGCATGGGAGGGTTGATGAATTTTTTGATTCACTTGTTATTAGTAGTTTTTTAGATGTTAATTTATTTATTATGTATACAATGCTCTGCTTGCATGTATGCCTGCAGGCCAGAAGAGGCACCAGATCTCATTATAGATGGTTATGAGCCACCATGTGGTTGCTGGGAATTGAACTCAGGACCTCTGGAAGAGCAGCTGATGCTCTTAACCACTGAGCCGTCTCTCCAGCCCGCATTTGTAATTAGTTTATGATACATGGAAGGAACCGCCTCAGGAAGTCCTCTGCATCCCTGGGGAACATGACTGCCAGAGAATCTGAGGGAGAAAATCTGTGAGTGCTTGGGTGGATCCCCCAGAGTTCTGCAGTGTCCTTAGGAGTTCCGTTTCCGGGCAGAGCTCTTTTCCTTCTGGATAATAACTGTCTGGACTACTGAGTATATGGAATCCCCAGCCCCAGCACAGACACGTGACCCCACACCATCCTTTTCTACAGGCAGCTTCACCTGCTTCCAGCATGGCCAAAAGATGGCCTGGCTTTCCATCTCTGAGCTGATTGGCTTTGCCCTGGAACAGGCTGGTGTCTTAGCCCAGGGACTGCTCACTCTGTATCACAGGATAGATTGTCAGGTGTTCTGTTACCAGGACCACACTGCTAGTTCTTGGTGTCTGCTAATGTCTGACCTGTACCTGGTGTGCATGTGACAGACTTCCCAGGTGATCTGGCTCTTCCTTCTGCCTCCCACGCCTCTGGGACTCTGTTACGTCACTTATGGAAGAGACCACGTCTTAGCATCACTGGGAGGATTAGCAGTGACTGTGCTGGCTAATGAGCTGAGAAGTCAGCTAAGGACCTGTGACAATGCTCACTCTCAGGCTGTGTCTGGGTGGGGCTCAAGAACCTCTGCCCTTAACGAGGGCCTAAGTAATGAGCTGCTATTGCTGCTGCCACTGGCTCCGTTGAGTATGGAGGGCAGAAGATAGAGTGCATTGGCCTCCGTCGAGATGCTTTCCCGAGTGACGCACTGGCTGTGGAGGCAGAGGTTCCTTGAAAGCCCTCCCGCTGGGTGTATGGCATGGATGGGGACAGGATAAGACAGCTCGTTCTGCCCTTTTGTGGGTCTGATGCTAGAGGCTTGGTCCACAGGGGAGCTCCTCTGGGACTTAGGGTTGGAAGAGAGAGTTTCGCGTTGTGACTGCAAATAAACCTGCCGCCTTCTATATCTTTGCTGTTCTATAGTTATTCCAGAGTGGCCATGCTGAGGGGGAGGGCGCTGGGAGGAGGTTATAGAGAGAGACCTTGAAAGAGCCAGGGAATGTCTGTGGGTGGGGCTGATGGAACCTCCTGGGAATCTGAGGGGTTCGAATGTCTGGGCCCCAGGACTAGGCCTGGTTATGCCTTGCCTCCTGCCACCCCTCCCCTGGCCTGCCAGCACCCTCTGGAAATCGTCTCCTTGGAAGGCAGGCCCTGTCTGCTCGTTAGCACCAGCAGCATGGGCCAAGCCTGGCTCCCTCCTCAGAGCGGGAGGCCCTGGCTCAGTCTGCTAAGCGTCTGCTGTCTCCATCCCGCGCATTATTTTATTTTCGTATTATTCTTTTTCCAGCTAATATCCTGGCATTCCCAAAGACACCGGGTTTCATAATCTTCCTGGCGTTCCCAGGGAGCTGGGAATCGGAGTACAAAGCCACTATTATAGCGAGTTCCATCAGCCTCCTGCTTACCCCACACCCCTTGCTGCCGCCACAGCCACCACCACCCGGCTCCCACCCAGTCACCCCCTCCTGACGCCACCAGCCTCTCTGGGAACTCTGGTGACGGCTGCTGGGGATGAGCTCACGGAATCTGTACTGTCACCCTTGCCCTGGGCCTGCCCTCCAGGCACGAGGATTTTCCAAACCCTGCCTCTGCACTTGGCCTTGCTAGAGGGGCAAGGCTTCCCGGGCTGCAGAGGCAGCCTGGCTGAGAGGGAGAGAAGGAGGGAATGAGGAAGGGAGGGAAGAAGGAAGGGAGGAAGGGAGGAAGGGAGGAGACAGGCCTGAAGCGTGTGCTGGCGGCCTTGGTGCCTTCTAGAGCTGAGAAAGACTTCCACGTTCAAAGGTGCTTGTGAGCCTTGGAGCTGCA